TGGACTGGCAACCACAAACACCCCTAATTGTACTAATAAGCTCTTCCAATCAAACATATACATCTTCATAATTAACCAGGATATGCATGTGTGGAAGAGTTCAATAGAAAGTTGAGGGGTGTCAAATAGATGACTAATCAGTACTATTCGGAAGCTGTAAGTATATACAAACATCTTTGTACTTATACTTTGACTGCAATAGCCACTAGCCACAAGAAAAGTGACTATTGCAGTCAAGGTATAAGTAAAAATTTTGTAATAGTTTTACCATTGTGAAGAAGACATACAAAGAATCATTAAATTCAAGATTTACTGAAAACAGTGGAAAGACAGACAAAATTCAACAAAATCTTCACCTACTCTGCATATTTTTTCAGCATAAATTGGTATTCCTTCTCCAGAACATCTTTTTCTTTCTCTCTATCCTGGGTCATGCTGTCCATCAACGTCTGTACTGATATTAACTCTTGTTTTAATACTAGAACATCATCAGCTGACGGCCTGCAAATAGAACGGAATAAATGAATGGTACAACTGGATGAATGAATGAAATAGATCGAAGAATGAAACAGAATGAATGAGGATATATAACTAAACATCAGCATTTATGTAAAAATAAGCAAGAAATGGCAAAAATCTAATTGAACATTAGAGAGAATGAAACAGCCATTTTTTTTATACAAGGCTAATGGCTAAGGTTCATGGGTATCACCTCTTGGCCCAACCTCTTAGCATTCATCTCCGAAACATCATGCAGTGTGCAATTAGGTAAATTAGTGTGAAATTAAGCTGTGAATTGTACATGATGACATGTATGACTGGAGTAATAATGAAGCAAATTACAGACAAGAAATGAAATGGAGTTTTTTTCTGCACCAGATTAGGCTAATGTAAGCAGGAAATGCCATGCAGTGGACAATCAGGGAAATAAGTGATTGTTACATTAATGGTGCAATACACGGGCATTTCTCATTGATGGCTGACTCCATATGGCAATGAAATTTGGCCAATGAAGACATAAAACAACATGCAGTGTACAATGAGGGAAATATGGACTGGACAATTCGTAGCAAGAACACTCATTAAAATAATGCACCCACTTACTTTTTGGCTGATATTCTAATAAGAAAGAATAAAAGAAGAAATAGTGAATAGAGTCAAGAAAGGAATTACTTGAAGGAATATAGTTTGTCTACAATGTAAGTACCTTATCCCTTAAACAGGGTATGTTAGTAACATGCAGAAAGGCTTATTAGATCATAATCATAAAGAATCAAACTATAAAAAGAAATTTCAAAAACCACTAAAACCCAAAGATCAGAATTCTAAAAAATAATTTATCAAATTCATGTACCTTTCGTCTAATTGTGTGTTTAAATTTTGTATGATTTTATCTTTGTTGTTTACTTGTTTCTGAAAAAAAAACTCAAAGAATCATCCATATTGCATCAGAAATATAACAGAAGTTGTAGTTCATCCTTGACCAAACCTCTTGGCATTGATCTTTTCAGATTTACAGCTGGTTCGACTGGAATAATGAGGAGAGATGACTAATTCAAGATCACCAAAATTTTCACAAGCCAACCAAGATTAGAATCTATGAACCAATTGTTCGATGTAAACAAGCAAATGATGTCATATAAATTTTCGAACGCCCTAAGTGACTGTGCTTCAGAACCCCTCAAAGTTTTTAGATACCTTTAATTCTACTATATGATCTTCTAAACCTTTTTTCTGGCCCTCGCTCTCATCAGCTCTGGCTTTATTAGCAGCTATCTGACCAGCCTGAAATAAATTCACTTCATTAATTCAAATATATAATTTCCAACAAACCAAAATATCTCTGGGATCCTGTAAGCAAAACAGTGGGCACGCATGAGATGCTTCCAAAATATAGATAGTTGAAACTTGTCGAATGTGCCAAAATGTCATTTTTTGGTTTTTGCTTGAATATGTAACAAATGTAGCAAAGTTCAATGTATGTCAGTATGTCACAAGTGAATGAAAATTATTTTGCTAAACTGTGACCAAGAAAATATAAGAATAATTACCAATTCAGCGGCTTTCTGTTCAATAGTTTCTTTCATTTCTGTGATATTTTTTAACTGAAGGTTGACATCTGTTAACTGAGACTGTAGGTTCTGAACTTCACTACTTACTGTAAGAATATACAGTATGGTAAGCATAAAACCATAGACAGATAAAGGCATGCCTGAGAGAGTACCAAGTATGAGGTCATTTGGTTTAATTTACTTACTATAAGGATACAATTGTGATAGCTGTATCATTTGTGGGGGTTTACCTGTGGGTACGTTTTATCCTATCTGGGTTCATGTTGTGTTTGGGGGCATGTTTTATCTAAAGGGAGAGGGGGGGAGGTTTTAGCATCGGGCATGGGGTAGGTCATATCTGTTGGATGGGATATCTGCGTAAGTTATCCTGAAGTATAGAAGGCCTACAATCTACTTACAAATAGTTCTGCTTTCTTCAGAGCCTTTCAACTGTAATTTCACCATTTCAATCTCACTCTGTACCTACAAATATAAGTCAATCAGTCAATATAGTCAATCAGTTCTCTCAATCAATCACTTTTGGCCATTCATTTTTTTGACACCTTTCAACTTTCTATTGAACTCTTCCACACATGCATACTTTCAATCAATTGAAACTGTATATGTATGATTTGAATCGTTCATAAGTGACATTAGGGGTGTTTTAACCTCATCAGAATTAGGATCAGCAGACGTTACTTCGCCATTACTATTTCCTCCCCCTTTTTCTAACTCTTTCTTCAACTCTCCTGAATGCCATTTTTCTTCCTGCAACGATTTCTTCAAATCTTCTATTTCTTTTCTCATGGCTAGCACATCTCCATCTCTGTTAAAAAAAACAAAAATTTAAATGTCTAGCAGGGCAGAAGCATCCACTGTTAAAAATCTAAAATTCCCATTTTGTCATTTCAACATTCAGTATTTTGAGTGCAGACAAATAATAAATGTAAGCAGAAGGCCAGACCAACTGACTCTAACATGACAACAGAATGTGCTCATAGTATGTGTATGAGTATTTGAATGAATCTATTACATAGGCTATTCACATAGCTGATCTATTTTGTCATTTTGAGTTTCTATGTGTGACTAGTCTTACCTATTTTCAGTTATTTGTTGAATACCATGAACTTAATAGAAACTAGAAAGCATGGTCTTTCATGTATCTGATCTATTTTGTCATTTTGAGTTTATGTGAGTAATTGGTCTGAACTGGTTTCAGTAATCTATGACTACCGTGTACCTTATTGAAAGCACAGTCATTCATGTAGCTGATCTATTTTGTCAATTTGAGTTTCTATGAGTGAACAGTCTAACCTATTTTACGTTTTCCATGGACTACCATGTAGATTGCCTAATAGAAAGCACAGTCATTCACACGCCTGATCTATTTTGTCAATTTGAGTTTCTATGAGTGAACAGTCTAACCTATTTTACGTTTTCCATGGACTACCATGTAGACTTCCATTATAGAAAGCATAGTCATTCACACAGCTGATCTATTTTGTCAATTTGAGTTTCTATGAGGTAGTAGTCTTACCTATTTTCTGTTATCTGTGGACTACCATGTACTTGATCATAATGAACCTGTAGTTTCTCTGGTGAATCAAACCCCATTTTACAGATAGGGCATAGAAAACCTGATTCCTAAAAAATTCAAAATAATAATATTTGTGAAGTTAATGTCTATTACATAATTTTCTGAGCAGTTAGTAAAGAGACTTCTCTTTAAATAGCAAGATGAAAAAAAAGCATGAAGCAGATATAAGTGTTATAGCGTAACTTACCTCTTGTCCTCCAGTTGTGTTAGTGGTTTGTGCAGTCTCATCATGTACTGTGTCAAAATGGTTTTGGAGTGCCTCAGGGGAGGGGAGTGATTTCATACATAGGGGACAGAGAAAACCCTGTTGAATAAAATACAAAATAAGGCACATAATTAAAAAAATTAATTCTAAGTTAATTTTATTACCTGCCATTTTGACTCTTTGAAGGCTACTCCTTTTTTACATTTTGATTCCCTGTACCCTATCAAAAACTTTTGACTCTAACATTGATCAAATCAACTCAAAAATCATATTTAGACACTAGATTCATGCACAAACAATAAAAAACATTCTGCTTTTGATTTCTCTTAATTCAATTCATCCTGATCAATTTAAAAATATTATTGGTTGACTAATTGAAGTTGGTCTATCCTGGAATATTATATTCACCTGGGCATCTTTGGGTGCATTTTGTTGAGTTTCTTTAGCCTAAAAGAGAAGGAATATTCGTAATAACAATGTCGAATTAAGTGTCGTAGAAGTACGAGCATTCCCTAAATATAATTTATAACCAAGCAAACAAATTAGACATATTTGCAAATCAATATTGATGATGTGTGAAGGGCTTTATTAGGGTTGTCATCAAATGGATGTTTGGCACACTATCACAAGCCTTTGATGGTTATAGAATGGAATATTGGACCTATTATCATTTCACAATATATCTACCAGATTCGGATAGTGACAGGCATGTAGCCCAATTAATGATAAATAAATCTAATTACAATCAAAATCAAGGCCAGGGCAAACTCAACAAGAAACAAGGCAATGTTTGTAATTCATAATAAATCATTCCAAACGATGATCTACTCTAGAAAAGTACAACGAACATAATTACCTGGCCGCTCTCTTTCCGATTGAGCAGTTTTTTAAACATTGTGCGTTATGTCAAGGCTGAAAAATCCCCCAAATTCATGAAAAAAGCCGAAATCAGTTCCTTCAAAAATATTATTGACGCCCTAACCGGAAGTTTTCATTAATTATGAATGAGAGTTACCTCCCCAGAATATATTTTTTCGAGTGCGTAGAATCGCCGGCTGTATTTGGTTAAATTTCACATTTTAAAAGCGAATTTATGTCCTGAAACGTTGAATGTTTAGAAAATCGAGTCGTTAAAGTTTACTTTGAAATGGGAAAAAATAAGTTGAAGCTGACGATATCAGTGTCAGAGCCTTCTGAAGGTGGCGATAAGGAAAATGGAGACGGAACAAACATGGAGGCGCTGCAACAAAACATTAGGAGTCAAGACATTGATGAGCAGCAGAGAGAAAGGTTGGAGCAGTTTTTGTCGTTGAAACAGAAGGTCGGAGAGCTGACTGAAGAAGATATCATCAAATGTGAAGAATTGGGAGCCGGAAATGGAGGAGTGGTTACTAAGGTGTTGCACAAACCTTCAGGGATCATTATGGCCAGGAAATTGATTCACCTTGAGATCAAACCAGTTGTCAGGAACCAGATTTTCAGAGAATTGAAAGTTCTACATGAATGTAACTCTCCTTACATTGTCGGCTTTTACGGGCATTTTTACAGCGACGGAGAAATCAGCATTTGTATGGAATATATGGATGGCGGATCGCTTGATTTAATTCTGAAAAATGCAGGTCGAATTCCTGAGCCAATTCTAGGTGTGATAAACATTGCAGTTTTAAAAGGCCTGTGCTACTTGAGAGAAAAACATCAAATTATACACCGCGATGTCAAACCATCAAATATTTTGGTCAATTCACAAGGGGAGATAAAAATCTGTGATTTTGGTGTAAGTGGACAGTTGATCGATTCCATGGCTAATTCATTCGTTGGTACCAGATCATACATGGCACCGGAAAGATTGCAGGGCACTCATTATTCTGTTCAATCGGACGTCTGGAGCTTAGGATTATCTTTGGTGGAGATGGCCATTGGGCGTTATCCCATTCCGCCACCGGAACCAAAAGATATCGAGAGTTTGTTTGACGAAAGTGGAAACAGTCCATCTGGTCGTTCCATTGCTAGTTCCAGAAGTAGTTTTGTTGGAATGCCAGGAGCCGAAGGTCCAAGACCTATGGCTATATTCGAACTTTTAGATTATATAGTCAATGAACCACCGCCAACGTTACCTAAAGGAAAATTCTCAGATGATTTTGAAGATTTTGTGGATAGATGTTTGAAGAAAAATCCCTCGGATAGAGCTGATCTTCAGTCATTAATGAACCACATGTTTATCAAGAAATACGAAAATTCTGATATTGAGATCGGAAGTTGGGTTTGTAAAGTCATGAACGTTAAACCAGACAATAGAAGTTGAATAAAATATTTGTTCTAGTAGGTTATAAAAAATATGCTTATGTATTTATACTGGTCATCACATTAAACTAGATCTACAGATTTATTAGGGCATGTCATGAGTCTGAAGAGAACTTGACAAAATCTGTTCAGTCAGAAAACATTGTCATAACATTAATTTCTGAAACAAGCAGCCAAATCCAAGCGATGAACTATAATGACTTGTAATATGGCCAAGTCTGAATTCTCTGTGTAATGTAAATAATATTAAATATTTTTCTGTACGATTTCTGTACATTTGGCACGGTGAGATAATTATCTGGTCAATTTATCTAGATTTGCAGCAACTACACATCAGATTGGACATCAGAATGGTGTAAATAGAAACTATAAATGTTCCCAATGACATAAGCTTATATATATATATATATACAAAGGCTAGCTAGTAGTTCTCAAAAGTGTCATTCCTTCTGAACTAGCAAAGTCTGATAGAATTCCTTTTTTTAATAGAGACTGTACAAACATCTGATTTAAACACAACAAAATGGAGATTTTTCAATAATGCTATCTATGATTGTTTTAGTTTGTTGTTTATTGCCATCAAAATGTAGTAGATATGTAGTGCTAAATGTTATTTAATGTTTTAAAATCAAATCATGCAGTTTTTGAAAATATCAATAGAAGTATTAAGGTGTAGTTGTGAAACGTACATGCCATTGCTTCTAAAGAAGATAAACCTTGATAAATATTGATGATATCTGTATAATATGAAATCTGTAAATATTATGAATTGTATATTAATATCTACTGCCCCATGTTATCTTTTTTAACAATTTTTGAGTTATTTTTCAACTTTATTTTTGTAGTTCTTTTTTCGTTTTGTTTTATTTAATCATTCAAATGTCGGGATTGGGGAAAGATCGTGCACAGTTCTGTTGTTAAAAAAATTTGTGGCTCTACATTGCTTTTACAAAAATTTATGATTAATTTGTCATTGGTGTAGAATTTTACATTTAAAAACATCATACTAATGATGTAATTAATTGTAAGATTTTTTGTAAAACAGAACCCTAGACCTATTTTTTTTTTCAACTTGAATTAATGATCCATTCATCCGCCAATCTTTTATTTAGACATGACTGGCGAAAAAAGCTTAAACAACAGTAATGTACTCTTGTCTTGCCCTCGTATATTTTATTTTTACTGCAGCTAGTAATTTTCAGTTTTGTGATATTATATATTGTGATTTTTGTAGTGATTAGGGCAAATTTCCGTGATGGATGGCAAGGTGTGCAACTTCTAAGCTCCAGCCTCTTAAAATGTAAATTGTAGAAAGATTGTGTATGATAACACAAGAGTAGTTTACCATATTAATTGATGATGACAATGTAATTTATTGAAACATTGTACAATAAAACTCAGGAGTAGTATACCATATAAACTAATGATGACAATGTAAATTGTAAAAACATTATAAATAATTAAGAAAAGTATAAGATATTGACCAATTGATGTAATTTGTTGAAACATTGTACACAATAAAACTCAGGAGTAGCTGATGATTACAATGTAAATTGTTGAAATATTGTACTACAAAACACATGAATAGTATACTACTTTGACTGATGCTAATTTGTTGAAACATTGTACTACAGACACAAGAGTAGTGTGCAATATAAACTTATCATGACAATATAAGTTGTAAATGAAATGAGATGAATGGAATTTTACGTCCTACTTTTCTGCACCATGTGGTCTGATGAAGACTGATGTAAATTGTAGAAACATTGTACTACAAAACAGAGTAGAGTGTTTGATCTAAAATGATGATGGCAGCGTCAATTGTTGAAAAGTTGAGTACAACAAAATAAAAGTAGTATACCATATAATTATGTAAGATCTTATTGCAGTTTTGTAAATTTCTGTTGTGTATATAATTAAGATTTTTCAACCTAATTCTTCTAAAAAAAAATCCATTTGTATGATATTTAAATTTAACTGCAAACAGTACTGTTTCAGCCATGGGCCTCATCAGTGCAGTGATATTTTACTAAGAAATATGAAAAGGGCAGGGCAGTGCCATACTAATTTTCGCTGCCCCCTTACTGAATTGGTCGCCAGTGTTCCTGAAAAATTTTCTGTAGTGCTATTTAAATTTTTTCTTTGTTTATGCTTTATTTGTAATTATAAGATAATGTATGAAAAAAATAAAAATATAATTCCTCTAGATCCTTGTTCATCTTCCTTCTTTATCTCACAAAGAAGGAAAAATTAGGATTCGCTTTCAGTTACCCCAATAAATCAAATAAGGAAATTCTTTAGTCTTTTAGCTTTTATTCAAAACTATTTCTTATATACATAGATTTCTCTTACAGAAATTTACATTTTACTTTTCTCCTCCTATGCTGCAGGCCTGTAGCTAGAGGAGGGCTGAGCCCCCCTTCAAAAAAATACATTTATCAAAAGGAATGGATATTCACACAACTGATATTGAGTTTGGTTGAATCAACAATATTTACATGACACTAAATATTAAAGTAAGTACACAGTAATCAATGTGCAGATAGACAGTGTATAGAGGGGGATTATGGATACAGTAGATAACAAAAGAAGGTTGTTCTGTAAATTTACTCTATCATTAATCCTGCACTTCACTGACACCAGTCTAAATTTGGGAAATAAAATGAATGGAGTTTTACATCCTATTTTTCTGCACCATGTGGGCTAATGAAGATAGAGACTAAATTTGGTATAACAAATTAACACTCCCAGTATAAAAGCACATTTCTATCGAAAGCAAATTGGGACTTGATCAATTTCAAGGAAAGAAAATAGATAAGATACTACAATAATCATTTTGAGAAAGCAAAGTCCAAACTATATATCAAACATGATTTCATATACACATAAAATTATCACCATTTTGAGAAAACAAGTCCATTACTTGCATGATTTTGTACACATATATTGGTTCACCATGATTGTAAATTAACATTTTGACAGAGCAAAAGTCTACCACAAACATAGCATGATTTTGTATACAAAATGATTATTCACCATGTTTGTAAATGAACATTTTGAAAGAGCAAAAGTGCTCCACAAACATGTCATGATTTTGTATACAAAATGATTATTCACCATGATTGTAAATTAACATTTTGACAGAGCAAAAGTCCACCACAAACATAGCACGATTTTGTAAACAAAATGATTATTCACCATGATTGTAAATTAACATTTTGACAGAGCAAAAGTGCTCAACAAACATAGCATGATTTTGTTTACAAAATGATTATTCACCATGATTGTAAATCAACCTTTTGACAGAGCAAAAGCCTACCACAAAGATAGCATGATTTTGTATACAAAATGATTATTCACCATGTTTGTAAATTAACATTTTGAAAGAGCAAAAGCGCTCCACAAACATGTCAAGATTTTGTATACAAAATGATTATTCACCATGATTGTAAATTGATATTAAATTGAATAATAAAGCACTTATGATTACATAGTCTTTGAATGGCATTTAGCAATTGTGAGTACGATATATAGATACAGCTTAAACCAGAGATTGTTGTTCCATAAAGCTGAGTCTATATATAATTACAAAGTTTTGATCTCAATAAACTGACTAAATAACTAATAATACATTTAGCACCATATTTCTATAGTAAATAAACAGTTTTGAAATTATATTTTATAATAAAACTTTTTGAATGATAAAGTTTTGATATAAACAAATTGTGACTAAATAACTAAAGACCACCATCTTTATTTTGTAAAAAATAGGTCTGAAGGCAAATTGATGATTATGTTTGTCTCTTCTATACTTCTAAAACTAAAACTAAAACATAATTCTACCCTGTTTCACTTTAGCAGGTAAATTTCGTATTAGAGACTGAGGTAATAATGTCATTATACTGATAACTGTTATAAAGTGGAATCTGTGTCTTATGGAGCTAATGAAATGAAATAGAGTTTTATATCCTACTGTTCTGTATCTTATTGGACTAATGAAATGAAATGGAGTTTTATATCCTACTGTTTAGCACAATCCACAAAAAGGTAGTTCAACGTTCTACTGTTTTCGAACTCTTTGGACAAATGAGGACAAGAAAGCATTTAAGATACTAACTGACTACCGGTATCATGATTTAGTATAGGAGTAGGGTGAGCGACGTAATGATGATACGTTAGGGTCAGGCTGATTGTAATTCACCGACCACAGACGAGGTGACATGGGGGTCGAGTTGTACCCACTATAGGGGGGTGGAGTGCCTGAAATATACAATATATAAAAGATTAAATCAAAATCATTATTCTCTGAAATTATCGCCCTAAAATAAAATAGAAACCTCTTCCATCTTTGACAGCTGGGAGAGCAATGCAGTGGGTGGTGAGGGAAATTTCATCAAAACAGCATCACCAGCTACCTAATTCCATCTCTAATTACCACCGATTCTTTAACATAGACAGTCAGTTATCCACAAAGTCAGTTATCTGCTCTATCAACATTATTTTTTCAATGTAACCAAGGAAACCAGGTTGAGAATTATAAATGCACCATCTTGACCTCAGCCAGTTTTGAAGATCTTTAAGCAAAGGCCTAGTACCTGCCCTAGTGCCTCACAAATGACGGTAAAATACAGGGTAAAAATCAAAACCAGACCTACCCTGAGGTTGAAGGAAGGATGACTGTGGACTAGGTGGTAGCTGTGTACCACTCTGATTTAAAAATACACTGGAATTTCCCACGTTTTTATACCTGGATCCCAGCACAAAATGATAACCTGAAAAACACCGTTCAAAATGACTGTATAAAATTTAAAGGGACAGACTTGGCATCCGTTTGATCACTCGTACCTTAGTCTCAGAATCGGGAATTTTTAAGCTAAGCCAATCAGTAATAGCGTTCACAGCTCACTGTCAAAATTATAATAGACCATTTACATATATTCAAGACCCAAATCAATCCTTCGAGAAGGCTCATCATGTTAAGCAGGATGTGAAATATCTATGGGTAAATCTTTAAACAGACTGAAACCTACCTGCTAATACTGCTATAGCTGTTATCAGTATGATGAAAAACAGAACAAACCAAGATTGATAGTTAAATAGAATGTTTCTAACCAGCATTCCCCATCCTACATCTCTTGTATACCCACCACTGTATCCTGAAAAAATAGCAACAAATTTCAAAATAAAAACAAATCTGTCTTTATATTCTGGTATCCAGTTAGTTCATCGGGAGACTTTTTCTCAGTAACTTCTCAGACAATAAAATACAGTTTTAAAGAATACAGTAATCTGATTGGATAATACAACTACTTTGAAAATGGATTCAAGTGATTGACCAATCAGAAGGCTGGAACACTAATCTTGAGTTAGCATAAGTAAATTAATTATAGTCCCAAAAAATTTAAGTTAGATTGTCATAAGTATACTATTTCTCAATGTGAGATTCTACATTTACCAAAAATTATCAAACGACATTATAAGAAACAGATGCCAGTTCTGAGTCAAAATTTTTGATAAGTATCTTTAACTTACCTGAAGCGCTGGGTTTGTTACCAATCAACTTAACAAATACAGGTATCTTAACTTTCTGTCCTGTTAATAAACTAGATAACTCTACATAAAGATCTAATGATTCACGTTCCCAGATACTGTAGGTGTCGAGTAAACGTATCGGGAACAACACCACGGCTCCAGACTGACTGTCTCTCTGGGGGGACAGAGCTTCTATTAACGAATTATCACTCACGCTAATCTGTAAATAAAAATAACAATAATTAGTAAAACATCAATTTAAAGGGATTGTAAAAAGGTTTTCTATTTTTTTTATGTGTATCAGTGACACTGATAGCATCAATTTGCACCATCCCGATTTTCAATCAGATGTCTTCTAAAACTAAGTGTTGAAAAAGAAAAAAAAAAAACAAACCTTAATATGTTCTACCAGATTTGGGAGAGTTGAAACACGTAAGGATGATAAAGGTGACGTGGTTGTTACTTGTATATCAGAATTATGAACATAGAAAGCAGGATGGAAATCAAAGATCATCTTGTCAGAGAATATTTCAGGTTGATCCTCCTGTGGAGTGAGCGTGACCTCTAGACTTATTTTGGTGTTCAGAGTACTGATCTGATGTATCAAGTACTCGTTGCGAACTTGTTCTATTCTACATGCGTACTGTCCTGGAATAGAGAAAAATAAAAATTTAAAAATTTTCAGAACCTTTTTGGACTTTTTTATTGGAGAGCAATGTCCTGCTGTTCTTATAGGGCTAATGAAGACAGGCAACATTATTCAGTGTGTCATGGAGGAAGCCTGTAGAACACTTGCCAGATTATTGTCCCAAAGAAGCCTTTTTTTCATGTCAGCCCCTCACAGACAGGAGAATTTAGGTTGAATAATTTGAGGGTATTATTTTGACCTATGCTGGGGTTGAATTCTAAGCCGTCAGGTAAGCAAGCAAACATTGAAGACAAAAAATATAAACCATGAACTAGAATTAACCATTAAAAGTACAAAGAGAGTAAGGTATAGTATTACCTTTAATATGATCGAAAGTGGGCGTGGCTTTAAACAAGTCAGCGATGGTGATATCTGTTTGATGGTTAACGAGTTGTAGGTTACAGTAGAATGGTATAGTGGTTGGTTGGTAATATTCACTGGCTACTATAGCACTGCAATTATCACCTGTAATGATACAGAGGGGAGTTTTACACCCTATTGTATACCTGAGCTAATACAATTTTAAGCATTAATTTGACTAATTACTTGGATTTATGCATTAAATGGGATTCTGTTGTATATTTATGACACCAGGTAAGTCCAACTGTTGAATCTATACTCTATTGACCAAGTTTAAAAATTTGATTTAACGATCATTCTAAGAGTTAGTGTTCCTTTAAATAGTTGATATCACAGTGTAGTTTCAACACAAGCTAACTTGGTATAAGTACTATTGCTTAATTTCATAGTCCACGGTAAATTTTAATAGGGGTTTGACGATACCTTGAAGAGTTGGAGAAGATCCTGTAGAGATGCCAACGTTGATTCCTCGAGATTTACCAATTCCATTAGTCAATGAATCATAGTTACAACTTAAATCTATATTCTTTACTGGTACGACTTCAATCTGGCAATAAATTCAAACCTTGTTAAAAAATTTGTTGTGGATAATCTCAATCTCACAGTGGTATAAGGTGTTCTAGAAGGGTGAAGCCATGCTCTGGACACATTCAACATGCCTTTGCCAGATTGGTCTGCAGATTGAAATGACATGAAATGATTTAGCTAATGAAGTGTGCAATAAGGCAAATACTGCCTGGACAGTGGGTGGCATAAACCTACTTTTTTTCAATTTACAACTGTCGATGGAACTTCTATGTGCAGAGTGCACTTGGTTTATTGTCCCTATCAAAGACTGCATGTTTTTCCATGTCAGCACTCAAACCTGCATCAATGACAGGGGGAACCTGAAGCTATTTTCTTGCCTTATGTCAAGATTGAACCCTGGTCCTTCAGGTTTGCAAGTGTCTACTCACTGAGCCACGTTGATTCCCGAAGTAGATGATAAAGGATTTAGAAACCCAGGTGTACCAGTTGATATAAACATACCTCAGTATAAGTAAGAATATCAGGAGAGACAGTGTAAACTACAGTAGACTTGCCGATACTAGTAGTTAGACTAATACCATTACTATCATCAACATCTATATTATTACTCTCACTTGACCATTTACCACTGTATCCTAAAATATTATCAATAGAATTATAGAATCCTTGGCCAACGCCTTCGAGAGTCAGTCTTTTACCATTGCAGCCAACAATACAACAATATCCTAAAATTTCCTGATTTTATGACTAGTAGCTGCTTTAACGAGTTTTCACCCTTAAAAAACCTTCCAAAAATTATCAAACTTTCTTATCGAATCTGCCTTATCTAAGATACACAGACAGGCTTTTACTCAGGCCTGTAACTAGGGGGCTTGGTGCTCCCACTGGAACTATATTCACTCCTCTAGCAAATTTTCAATTGAAGCTGAAATCAGTCTCTATCAGCTATTGCCACCCTGCAAATATGGCCGCCCCCCGGCTTACTATGTTATAAATCATCCATCAGCTATGGATCTTCGCTACACTAAAACCCACCTCTTTCAGTAACAAGTGTTGTAGAGAAACATATTATAGAAGTAAGAGAAACTGTAGTTTGTTGTGGATAGATAACATTATCTACTGGTATATTTACATAATCAGCTATCCATGGATTCTTATTATCCCATGCCTGAAATAAAACACCAAAACACAATAAGCGGACATTGATTTCACATAGTTTACCAAAGCCTCAAATAGCACAGAGAAAAAAAACCCACAAAAAACACAACAGAAAGGGGCAGGAGACATGGTTTTTTTTTGCTAAAAGTCATGAAATATCCATATCAAGTTACCAAAGATATCTGCACAATTAATTTCTTGTAAAAAAAGGTATCGTTAGCAAATGTAATTTCATTTCTCGTTTAATGCCAGACAATTCCCATTTTTAGAGTAGCCTACCTTTAAGATGGTTTGTCCCACTTCTGCTGTTTTTACAACCAATGTGTTGTTATCCCAACCTTTTGATACATGTAGCAAATTATATCTGAAACACAATCATTTGTATTGACAATGTCTTTAGAGTGCATAAGATCAGCTCTGGTTCAATAGATTATCTGAATATATATTACTTGATTGCTCAATCCTGCAGGGCGAGTTCTAAAATTTGCTTATAATTGTACATGTAAATATTCAAAATTTCAACCCACATCTCCGCTAGCTATCCTGATGGTTATTCTTTATCCAAAACAGCAGACAATGCGATCTTTTTATTTCCAAACTAACTGTCCTGATGAGGATTCTATATCCAAAACTGCACTGACAGCAAAGAATAAGACATATTGCCAAAAATTAATATTTCCATTCCAGCCATGATGGGAAGCTTACCTGCTACATCTGAATTTCAACTGTGTATTTGTGGCATAGAATTTCTCTCCAACATCGTCATGGTAACTAACTTTAAACTGTAGACTAGTACCAACTGGTATGCTGGTCACATGACCACCCAGCGTGGCTAATTTGGTCTCTGCGTTTATCATTAAATAGGAAATTGGTTTAATCTGAAAATCACAATGAAAGAAAAAAAAAAGGGATTTCTAACTTCTTATGAATTGGAGACACTGATAGCATCAATTTGCACCATTTTAATTTTCAATCAGACGTCTGATGTTCCTGCAATTCCACTAAAACTTAGCGTTTTATAAAGTTTCTAGCATATAGACCCTCAGTTGATATGAACATTCTGCCACAATGGCGTTATATACAGTTAGACATTTCTATAATTACAGGAACCACAAACATCGGACAAAAATATGGAAAGCTGCAAATATAAGCCATAAATGATCTTGACCTTCTCAAGAGCAGACGTCTTGCTCACCTTAACTAGTAGTACAATGGTCTGATTTACTCCGAATTCCTCTTCAGAAATGATTTCTAACATGGCTTGACCTATCCCAGGTCCTGATTTTAACTGTCCACCATCTTTAACTTGTATCAGATCTGTTGATTGGTCAGTCAATAGTTTATATGTTAATTTAGCTGCTGAATCTCTGTAAGGATAACCTCCATTTTGTTAAAGCATAAAAAGTATTTAAATTAAGCATCAAGATTTCATATTTATCACCCTGGGCGAGTCTTGGAATTTTTGAGTCCTTCATTTCTGCAGCTGATTGGGTTCATAAGGACAAGTTAAGCCATGCAGTCTGCAATGAGGAAAAATACTCTTTTTCAATTTCCAACTGTCAAGGGATATTTAATGTACAGCCTGTAGCACGCAGGATGTTGGTTTCTAGGCCATCTGAATGATTATACGCTTTTTCTATGTTAGCCCCTCTGACCAGACGAAAGAAGGTTGACAAATTCAATGGTATAATCGAGACTTATTGTGGGATCTAACCCTAGAACTTTATTTTGACAATAAGAGAAAGTCATGTGATCAGTATGTATCAAGTACCTGTTAGTTTTAACGATAGTTTCTGTATTGGGTGTCATTAAAACTTGTCCTCCACAAACCATAGGACTAATCACAGCTAGCTTCTCAAATACCTGAATAATATTTCAAAAATAAAATTTAAACTACCCTGATGATCAAGGCTATAGTGAGAATGTGCCGTGTTAAGTGAAACGAGAATATAACTCATAAAAGCACTGGTCGAGGTGTTGAAGCAAGTATAATTCATTTGGTTGGTTTCGTAATATCTTTACTATATAGTTGAAAACCAAAGTTAAAACTGAATATTTTGAAGTATTTCTCAATAAATTTGCCATTTCTTTAACAACTTCAGAAAAACAAAGATTGCTTTCTCCAAAGTTTGACTTGTTTCAGTTCTAAGTAACAGTTCACTGAACTTTATTATAAAATGGACTGTTGGTGTTAATGTTTTGAATAGACTTAATCCTGAGATAGATGACAATGACAGTATAGAGCTTTATAGAAACATGCAAAATGTAAGATGTCAAATATAACAAAGCAAATATTGAAATTTGAAATAAACTCTGAACCCTGAAATCTAATGCGAATACAAATGATAGATTATAACTAAGACTGTTGGTTTGTCACAATTCCTGTTAAAAATACAACTAAATGTTTTTGATACATTTATGGATTGTTTCTTTGAAGTTTATTTGTGGGGAAGAGCTTTTTTGACTGCAAGTATTCAGCCCTAAACATTTCACAATAAAATAGCCAATAAATTCCCAAAGTCTAAAATGTCGAACCAAATGAACAGTTTAGTTGTACAAACGCAATAAATGAAATTCAAACATAAATATAACATTTTTTAATAAGACAAACTCAATATTTACTGGATGAGCCTGGAAAAAATATAATTAATAAATAAAATTCTGCAAAAATCACCCCTAATTTTACAATCAGCTCTTCCAATCATTCATATACAGTTTCATATTGATAGAAAGTATGCATGTGTGGAAGAGTTCAATAGAAAGTTGAGGGGTGTTAAATAAACTATTTCCAGCTTTGTTTGATTCTTTAGTGAGGACACAATACCTTTGTCCTTGTCTATTTCATCCAAAAGGGAAATAGTAGCTCTGTTGGTCTAATGGTTGACTTGACAGACATGTTGAAATTAAAATGGCCAAATAGTGAACTCAAAAGTGAGATTTCGCATAGCACATGGTGTCCAAAAGTTTGCTTACCTGAATTTGTACTTCATCTTTCAAATCAGCCATGTTTTTAATCTGCAGACGACTTCCTTTTTTGGGCGTGACTTGTAACTTTAATGTCACATGACCAGCTTCTACGGCCGTCAACTGCATGGCAAATTTACTTTCATCTGATAGTTTTACACCGCTCTGAAATAAACCAGAAAGATGAAACGACTGTTCTATATCTATAAGATAATCTGATTGGATAATAAAACTGAAATTCAAATTGATATTAGTGATTGACCAATCAGATGGCAGGAACTCTAAATTCATCTTAATTCAAATTTTTAGAAGAATAAGGACCCAGGTCTGTCCAGTGCTTTTCCTATCTCTGGAGATAAAATGGAGGACCAGTTAATAGGGTAGGATTAAAATTCTCTGGTCTTACCTGATAGTACACTGAATGTAAAACAATTGGTTCTCGACTGTTGTAAGTCCAGGTAAACGTTAATGGTATAACAGCACTACCGAATGTAAATGGTGTTTCTTGTTCAGTTATACCTACAGCATACACAGGCATCTACAATATCAAATTATTATCATTATTATAAGGTTCAGGATTTACCATTCTGGGGGTACCTCCAACCAATGCCTTTGGGCTGTACATATTGAAATGCCTAAGGAAGTGTTTTTGCTGACAATTTCTTTAGGCTTTACCAATGCCTTGGGGCATTTTTATATTTGGGCTTTACCAATGCCTTTGGGCTTTATTATATTTGGCCTTTATTATATTCGGACTTTACCAATGTCTTTGGGCTTTATTATATTTGGACTTTACCAATGCTTTCGGGCTTTATCATATTTTGACGAAATAAGTTTTTAAGGAGTTTAACGCCCATCTTTCCTGCTGAAGCAAAAATAAGCAAATCCATTTCCATACCTTAGTACCAGTTTGTAGTCGTGTTAAAGGAGCATGTATTCTAATACCAGTTAAGATGATAACATTTACTATAGCTTCATCCTAAATAACAAAACACAAAATTTACAAGGGTAACGTCTTGCAGTGCACTATGAGGGAAATTTTTCAAAGACAACAGGATGTTCTGATCTGTCCATAGAGATATGTCGGACTTAATTAGTATCTTCAAAACTTATCTCTATTTCAAAAGAGATGGCGTCTTGTATAAAACTTTACTACTTCATAGCAACACAATGCAGTGTGCAATGAGGGAAATTTTGCTAGAACTCATCCCATAAAGACAAGTCCTCTTACCTGAGAGTATATGACAGTTTCTCCCGATAACGAGTCAGTACCTACAGCTTTACCTACAACTCTAGTACTACCAATCTCTAAGGCTTCTAACATCCCTCCACCACTTACTGTAGATATCTTACTATCTTTTATACTAAATTCTACATTACTCTGAGGTTGGGGACCTCCGTGAGCTAGCACCTGTCAAATACAAGAACAATTAGGATTAATCATAAAAGAGGACCGACTGTAGATCATTTATTAAGTGTGTTGGAATCTTGACATCATTTTCTAAGTCATTTTCTAAGGCATGAAATTCCGTACCTGAAACTTGGCACCAACGATCAAGGTGATGTTTTTAGGATCCAGTCTGAGAGGTGGAAAAACCTGAAAAATTCAATAAAAAATAAAGAGATATATGGTGCTTAAGATAGCTACTAGCAACTGATTCATGGCTATCAAAATATTGCTAACAAAGGACAGCTAAGAAAAACAGCATAAAGGCTCAAGGACCAATAGATAGCTATCAAAGGATAATTATCAAAATATTATTATCGAAAGATAGCTATCATTGGGTGACTATCAATGGGTATCTACCAAAGAATGGATAAAAAAAATGGTTATTAAAGGATAGCTATCAAAAGATTCTTAACAAGATAGCTCACAGGGCAAATCGTACCACCCCTAGTATAACCAAGACAACCTACCTCTAGTGGTTTAGGCGAGCTATAAATAACTTGACCATTAGGAAGTTTAACTGAGGCTCTGACATTCGTATGACCAACGTATGAACCATGAACTGTATAGAAAGCTGTTATTTTATCACTTGGCTGATTGGCTGCTGGTCTGAAATGACAACAAGACTTGAAACAAGGGCAGTAACTGTTGATATTTCAATTGACACGAATCATAACATTTGTCCAACCTTGGTACCAGATGGTCCTTGGTCAAACCTTTCGGTTATGATTTTACAACGATTTCAACCAGCTACTCCTTGCCCAATCTTCTAGGCATGCTCGTAATGGGGTAACATCTTTGGCATCGCCAGTTGAATCTGAGTCAAAACTATTACTGTAGAGACAAGGGCAATAACTCTATATCTAATTTCTGGATATCAAACAGATACCAATAGAACCAAAACAGTCAGAAGGTGCAGTGGAAATTGTCGTCTGCTAAATTTATTTAAATAATTACCTGACAGTAATGATGTCACTTCCTCCTTCTAATTTTAGATTCATCAAAGAGAAAAAACTAGAGAGTAGTGGGTTACCATGGATATCTAATACTTGTACTTTCGCTTTCAGTTCTTTACCAACTTCAACCTGTAAAGAATATTAACATGTTTAAGCTATAGATAACAGTTTTTTTCTGAAATATGCATGTGTATGAGGAACCCTTACAGCTTCTAATAACAAAAGTCTGATTGAAGTCAAAGGATAGGTTCCCTCATTGCACGCTGCATAAGGTTGCTTGTCACCATTAACTGAAATAGGTGTATATATACAGTAGTCCAGTTCTCTCCTAAATACCCTCAACCTTTAATAGACTCTCCTTAACATGTGCTTTTCTTATCAATATAGTTCATTTTATAAATTAGGGGTGAATCTTTAAATATATATTTTACCTTGTCTAGAATAATAACATCTACTCCACCAACACCAGAAACATGTACAGTAGCTGACGGGTGATCTGTAACTTCTAGACATAGATCATAGACTGTTATACTCTTACTACCATCTTTAATAGGGTTCACCTGCAAAATAAATCAACATTATCAGGGTTGGCAAGTTTAGGGCAAGGTGCTTTATACACCCATGTAATGTGATATGTAATGTAGCCCTTGTATCACAGTAAGTATCATGTCGTAGCACTCAGACCACAATTGTATATTATCCCTTGGATCCCTGCACTTATATACAAGCCATTGTATCATGTTCTAGCCTTTGTATCATGTCCTAGCCCTTGTATGTCCTAGCCATTGTATCATGTCCTAGCGCTTGTATCATGTCCTAGCCATTGTATCATGTCCTAGCCATTGTATCATGTCCTAGCCATTGTACCACCAAATATTTTACAACAAGAATTTATCGTTAGTGTAGAATTTTCTGGTACAGGGATCAGGGTGTGTAATGATTACAGCCCATGTATCAAACAAGGTATTACATTGTCGCCCTTGTCCTAAATCTATAATAGCCCTTGTATTTATATACCATGGCATGACTGGCTACGTCCAGTACTGAGATAAAAATATATAGAACTAACATACCAGGACAGCTTTTTGTTTGGCATCATATTTAATAGACATTGTATCTGTTTCTACATCATCAAGATGAAAATATCCTGATCCTTTCTGTACTTCTATTGTCACCTTAACATTACAAAAAATAAAAGATGTTTAATATTTTATTTTTCATGGTAAATATCCTTTGAAATGCTTTGCCTTGTTTTGGCAAAGGATCATCTAAAAGACAGGATCCTCAAGAACCCAAGTTGTAATCCTGGCATCTTCATTGCTACGAGAATTGGTCAAGAACGAGCAGACTCCTTGAGAACATAAGTTGCTATCCTGGCATCTTCATTGCCAAGAGAATTGATCAAGAACGAGCTGACTCCTCGAGAACATAAGTTGCTATCCTGGCATCTTCATTGCCAAGAGAATTGATCAAGAATGAGCTGACTCCTCGAGAACATAAGTTGCTATCCTGGCATCTTCATTGCTACGAGAATTGGTCAAGAACGAGCTGACTCTTCAAGAACCCAAGTTGTTATGGTGGCATCTCCATTGCCAAGAGAATTGGTCAGGAAATAGCTGAAGCTTCGAGAACATAAATTGTTATCCTCGTGAAGATTGGCTCTCTCGGACTCTTTTTTTTTCAAAATGTAAAGATATTAAAGACTGTACCTTGTTAGAAGGATGATTAAAAACAGAGATTCTACTAGGTTCTATAACAGCTTCCTGTCTGAGTAACAATTCTAAAGATTTACTGATAGTTGGATGAACCACTTCCTAAAATAACCATGTATTTCATAATACACGTGTATTTGAAATATACAGTGGAATAGCTTATTCAGTAACAGGTTTAATTGTTGTTGACTAGACTATCAAGTTCAAGTCCGTCTCAACTGGCAGTGGAATATCTCGGTTGGTATTGAGCTGTATCGCAACCTGCTAAGCGATTAGGTATCATAAGATGTAACAGCTTGTGCTTCAGAGAATAGGCCTGGTGTTGGCTTTCAACTCTGAAAGTCTCGATTTTGCCATACTAAGGACGAGATTTTGATTAATGAAATGGTCTTGCTTGTATAGATTTTTTTAATCTAAATTCAAAACTTACTGATAATGAAGAACAAGCTATTTTAAAATAAGATGATTTATAGCTAACTATTGTTGCCGTGACAACAACACTGCCTTCCACTCCAAACGGATGCACTGTCTGAAATGCTGCAATGGAAAATCGTAAACTTTTTAAATGATTAAAAGTCTACAATTACAATTGAAACTGATCACAGCTTACTTTTAAAATATATAAATCAAACTATACCTTTAAATAAATTCACAAGCCTTCATAAAAAAAACCTATACCTTTGAAAAACAAGCCAGCATAAAAACAAACCAAACTATGCCTTTAAAAAACAAGCCTTCATAAAAAAAAAACCTAAACTTTAAAATAAACAAGCATACAATAAAATAAACATACCAAACTATGCCTTTAAACGAATACACAAGTCTTCATAAAAATAAACATACCAAACTCTACTTTTAAAAAAACAATCATAAAATAATATAACCCAAACCTTACCTTTAACAAGTTTCTTGCCATCATTATCTGTAGTAATATCTACAGTGAGATCTGTTGTATCTTCTAATTCAGCCAGCTGATTGTCTGATAACTTCCATTCTATCGCCAACGAAGAAAAGTTATCAAACTTTCGTCCAGAACTATCTGTCACTATTGCCTGTATATTGACATCCTTCTTACAGTGAACTGGCATCTATAATAGAAGGACAACAGCATGCAGTAAGCAATGAGGGAAATTTTTGACAGAAATTCAACAGTAACATTTTATACCTTTAGAGTTTTTAGTCAGGTCATTTTTTGTGATGATTCTTTTTACTAGGTTTATTTAAGACTTTATGGAATACTTACTGGTAATTGTGTTTCCCTGGTTACAGGACATGGCGGCAATCTGGGGTCAAAGTTCAAGATGGGTTGTAGATAAAGTTCAACAGGTCGGGTGCAAATATACCTTGAAATAAAGAAAAATATAAATGGCAAATGTAGTTCAATCTATTTTTCTATAAGTACATCACAATCCGAGGCTTGACACCCCTCAATTTTCTATTGAACTTTTCCACACATGCATAAATTGAATCATTATTAAACTATATGTATCATTAGAAGAATTCATTTGTAAAAGAAGGGGTGTTTTTGTTACCAATCTGGCCTTGATCTAGGATCTGACAAAATTCATTGTCAAAATAGAAATCTGATTTACCTGATGCTAGCAGTTTGTGTTATAGGAAACTGATTTTTAGCTGTTTTATGATTTCCAACTTTCAACGTCAATTCCTATTAGAGGGGAAATTATAGATATGACATCAGTGTACATAATATAGCAAAATAATAAGAAATATAACTCATTCTTGTTGAAAATCCTTTCAAAAATATCATACAATCAAATATACAATCATTGATAAAATGGTCTTCAAAAGAAAGCGGGTGCTTGACGAATTCTTGTATAATTTTAAATATAATAATCTATAAAATGTACAAACCTGTTCACCAAGTTCTATACACAACACAGTAAAAACATGCAGGCCTCCTGGAATGGAACATAGAGACAAAATCTTGAATATTCATGAAAAGACAGAAAATATACAATTCTGATCCTCAGGGGGTATTAAAGATCCTGATAATTTTGAAAGAAGATCTATCCTTACTGTTCATTCCAGTCATTTTCTTCTTCTTCATGTCCAATAAAGATCTCCTCTCAGCTGATACTGAAATATTGAAATTAACATTGTAATATTGTGGTCTGAATACATCAAGATATATGAGAGTGATCCCCCTTGGGAGAGTAGCCAAGTAGGCCTGAAGTGAAATTACATGAAATTTACTGTGTTGTTCTTCCATCTGTGTGTCTTAAATTCCAGAATATACAAAAGCCAATGCCATGCAGTGTGCAGAGAGGGAAACTTCTAATTCACAAGGGTCAGAATAATGGGACATGACCCTGTCTAACATTCAGCCCAGGGTTACGGGTTAGGGGGGACAAATATACGATATATGATATGAAAACAAGTCAGAATGAATTGTAAGCAATGGATGTCCCAAATGATACTTACAATCTTGAAAGTATTGAGAAGAGTCAAGGATCCATGGCTGAGGTCCACCTTTAAATACAACATCTTTAGACGAGGCTACAGTCACTACTGTTTCTACTTCAGGGTCTACAGGCTGTAAATAAAATATAGGATTGATTCAGATTGATTGGATCTCCACAGTGTACTATGACTATGAGAGAAAGTTTGCAATGACTATGATGAAATAATTAGTTCTTCAGAAATGTACCTTACACCCTGAAGATATGCAAAACCAGACAGTGTGCAATGAGGAAAAGTTGTCATAGGCAGCTATGTCTATCCATTTTGTATTTGGAACAAAAATTTTAAAGACTCCTAAACGAACAACTATTGAAATAAGAAAGAAATGTTTTGATCTAATACCAGATCAACCTTGACCTGCACATGCAATGCATTTTGATTGGCTGAGCTGCATGCTGAGCCAGCTATCGTTAAATATCTTGGATGAGTAATATACTTACTTGCAGAGGATTAAAAGCAGCAATGGTGATAGTCGTTGTTAACAGAACTTTATTTCGTTGATAGCTAGCCGTGACCTCTGTATGACCTTGATGAACGGCCATGACCTTTAGACACATACATCCAGTATCATGCTTACTGAAACCTATAATAGAACACAAAAAGACTAAAGAAATAGAAGTGTTAAGGCATTTGGCCTCTTATTTCCCACTACCTTAGCCTCTGATCTTAGTTAATTTCCACATTCATTTAAGTTAATTTATTTGTGGTCTGAAATAAAAAGAGGAGAAGAGTTATCTGTTCATACTGACCTTCAACTTGAGTGAAGACTGTAACATCACTAAAACTAATGTTTAGATTTAACAAGTGACAATCTGTAAAGGCTACTTTCTTACCTAAAAATAAAATCAAAATCATTTTGAAAATATGATAGCCTTCAGGTCCTGGACACGGTTTTTTGACAAAATGAGCTCTTCTGAACATACACATACCTGTGCAATGGGGAAAATTGCATCTGCATAATCTGATATATGACAACAATATGCTTAATGTTAGTCACTCTTAATTGCATCACGAACACTGAAAAACTTGATGGGGCAAAAAGACCACATTTGTTTTGTCCAGTCTGAACGACGAGATACTTAGATTCAGTTCTTAGGAGACCATGGCCAACATTGCTGCCCGATAGAAATACCTCTGTCCAATGTAAAAATAGAAATATTACCATTATATATAGCATTGATAGCTAGAGGCAATTGTAAAACACTTCCTACTGTAGCTTCTACTGGCGTTGATAAAAACATCATTTCATTGGGCGGTAAAACATGCACCTAGAAAATCAGAATATTAAATGAAGTTCACATCCTACTAATCTGCACTAATGAAGACTGGCTATAGCCTGCATTGTTCAATGAGGGACATTTTAAGGGATACACCCATTAGCCTACACTTCCAGAATTTTCTTCTGTTAAAGGCTGATTAACAAGCAAAGTTTGAACAAAGTCTTGTCAATTTTGTCCCGGAGAATGATTTTGCAATGTCAGATTTTTCCATTACCAAAACAAATTCTACTCATACTTACAATCGAGCTACCAGTATGAGCGTTATTTTTGGCGTCTGCAGCAGTGACGTTAGCTCTTCCCATACCAGTGGTAGTTATCTGTCCCTTGATATTGACGGTAGTGACATCTGTGTCTGTAGAGGTCCAGGTGTAATCCCCGCTTCCACCACTAGCCTAGATGAAAATGCAAAATAGTTCATTCCATGAGTCACTTATGTAACATAAAAGAATATTCTTGCTTAGACTGCTTATTATAGTTTATTGTGGGTATGTTATGTGCTGAAGGGAAACTATGTGGAAGAGATTACTACTTGTTGACAGGTACACTGAAGACCTATAATAACGTTGGCATTTAATTGATTATGAAAACGATAAACGATAATCGTAATTTATAGTGACGGTAATCGATTATTTTACCCAGCAATTGTCCCAAGGAAAATACAACCTTTTTCAAAACCGGATGGGACCAGAGTATAGAAATTTCATTTATAGGGTAGATTTATCATAGGTTGAAGGATAAAGAAAAGGTGTTCTTACCTTGAGTAAATAGGTATGTTTGGCCTGTGTGACTGGATCCCATGGAAAATATAACCGAGCAGGAACTACAATTATTGGATCATATATATCTACTTCTTGACTGCCTTTTACTTCTGGATTTATTTCATATCTCGATCCATCCTATAAGATACGGAAATTACAAAATATCGCAAAAATAATGTGCAAGCATGCATAAAGTGAAATTTTCTTACTTTCAAGCAAACCTGGATATAATGAGCCTGTCAACTATTTGACACCCCTCTACTCTCTATTGAACTCTTCCACACATGCATTCTTTTTAGCATTATAATACAGTTTATATATATTTGGAAAAGCTCATTTTGTGATATTAGGGGTGTTTTGTTTCATCTATCAAATTATATCCATCTTTGCTTGCAAATAAATCTGGAAAAATACCCATATTTCCCTCCACCAAGTTTAAGGTGAACATCTCTATTGCATCTACATCCTAGATTTTTCTATCATTTTGAAGGCATGCAGTGTGCAATGAAGGAAATAAACTATACCTTTTTAATAATGGCCGTCAGTTCCCCATCTATTTCTGTCCGTCCTCTAACTAAAGTTTTAACTCTATGATAAGTACCGTTAATACTTGAAAACAATACTTTAAAATACGTAGACGGGAATTCAGCTTCTATACGTACATTCTGAAAGTGGAAATTAAGTTATTGACTCAAAGACCGTGTTTGAAATAGAGAATCATGCTTTAATACACATCACCAAATACACCTGATTGAGCCAATGAAGATAAGCAACAACAAGCAGTTTTCAAGAAATGAAATGTTGCCATGACAGCGCCATTAGCCTTTCCAACTGCTGAGATCTTTAGCATGCACAGCCGAAATACAATGGGTTTATTTTCCCAATCAAACAATTAGACACTTCATGTCAGCCCTTCAACCTACATCACTATTAAGAGGATTGGAAAAAATGCTGCCGAATTATCTTGAATTGTGGGTAATAGTTAAACTTACGTCTGAAGGAAAGATCATGTGACTATCTGTATCGTAGACTTCTATCAAGATATCATATTCTCTGTCAGTTTCTAACACCCATTTCTTACCAGGTAACACTACGAACGCTGTATAACACAGAAAATATCAATCAATAAGGTGTTTGAAAAGAAGAGTTTATGATGTTACTATCACAAAGGCTGCTGGTAATATTTTAAGTTCTTAGCATTAGCACAGCGCCATGGAGCAGCATTTGCTGGATTATAGGCGCTATCGAAATAAATTATTATCATTATTATAAATTATTATTAATGTCATAAATTGCTTAGTTTTAGAGGAATTGCAAAAACATACAGACATCTGACTGAAAGTTGCTTTTGAAATGGATATTTGCCTGTTTCGTCTGATTGTACATTAAGTCTTGCATAGTGGCTTAGTTGCATAATTGCAAAATGCCTTACCTATGTAGCTTGGGTTAACTACATGAAACAAGGCTGAAGGTTGACGATGAAATTCTGTTACTACAATATCTTAATTATACATGTAAGGTTATAATTCTAAATAATCAATACCATTGAATTCAATAGACAGTAAACTGGAGCATACGAATTTTTAAAGGACATGATTTGCTTAGTTAAACCAAACAAATGGTGGTTGTGGTTTCTTATCATGGCCAGCCTGTGAAAGTCTTGTGACCTTATGCTAGTGACCCTAGCCCTAAATGGAAAGACCAGCTGGTCGAAAGGGGTTTTCTAAACCTCAGTTGTTATACTTGTAAAATTATTACCAAGAAATTTAGCCAAGGACCAGCTGGTAAAAAGAATCCTCCTGGACCGAAGTTGTCCTTGTAATATTGTTACAAAGTGGTTTAGCCAAAGACCAGCTGATGGAACCCAAATTATTCTTGTAAATTTTGGTATTTCTTTCTATAAAAGGATACTTTTATCTTTAAGGACGACCTCAGTGGAACCTATTTTCTGGGCTGTAGCTATAGATGTTGATTTCTCGAGAGTACAAATCTCTCCATCCTTCACCTCTAAATAATACTGGTTGGATGGCATAGTGATTTCTGAAAGATAAATATTGGAATTTCATCAAAAACTTTGCCCTATTCATTGAAATCAGTAGGCTAATGCTGCTGTTTCATGCAAAATCTTTCCTCATTGCTCACTGCATGGCATTGTTATTAGTCTTGGTATCATAATAATATTCTAAAAAAAAAATGACCTAACACTAGACTTACCTGAAACTTTATTGTGTTTGAGTAATTCTACGCGATATCTAACTTCACTGAATGGTAACACGTAAACATCGGCAGGGTTCAACATTAGATTGGCTATCACCATTATACGAATGTCTTCTGGTATTAATTGCTGTAAATGAGTTAAAATCATGGATATTTTTATACTCCTGAAAGATTTGTTCACTTTTATTCTCAACTCTGTTAACTATCAGACAAGATTTGTTAAAACTGTAGAATTCTCCTGATATCTTTTGCTACAATTCAGTGAGTTTCAGTGTTCAGTAGTCGTTTGAAGTCTAAGATTGGAAACTTTGCACCAAAACTAGCTATCCAGATGAGGATTTCTTATCATGAGATCTGTTTTACAAACAGAATGCTGATGAAGGCACAATCCTACCTTGTAGACTGGATCTTTAAGTCTTGCAGAAACCTTGGCACTTCCAGTCCTAATTCCCTCTACCAGTATTCTATCACCCTGTAAGCCTCGTTCCTCTAGAGGTTCAATATGTGCTGGAGTCGTATAGTGAGAGTCTGTATAACGTTTGATTCTACAGGAAACATAAATCAATATCATTGCCAATCCGATTATAATGCATATGTCTATCTGGATGTTTTGTTTCATGTTTTTTCTATGGGTGACTCCAATATCAAACTAATGTTTTCTGTTATTCTTTAAATGGGTTTGTCTAAACATCTCTTAAAGAGAGTCCACATTCCCATTCTTTGAATGAGTTTAGAGAGTTCACATAGCTATGAAGTTATTAATATCAGGCTTTGGTTTACCTACCTGAGTATATTGTGAGCATCCACAACAACATGCCCTGTTTCTGTATCTGACACTAAACTCCATTCATAGGCTAAACCATCCAAACTAGTAAATATATTTCCTGAAATTTAGAACAATTTTTTTTAACACTAGTGACTAATCTAGCGACAAATTTCAAGACATTGCCTGAGTGGCGGATAATATTACAGCATTTTTTCATTTTTCTTTACTGCGCATGGGTAAATGGAAGTGCCGGTAAAATAGCCAAAAAGAAACTAAACTGGTTCACGGCTAAATATCCACTGCGTTTAAGTAATGATGATTTCTTTCTTTCCTTCTCGTCAAAGCAAGAAAGAGTGTACAAGAAAGGAAATTGTACGTACCTTCTGAGTCAAAACCTTTAGCTAAGAGTTCATCAGGAGAATCTTCTAGATATAAAACTCTAGTTGTAGTCTCTATTTCTAGTTTAACTATCTTATTCACTATCAGATCACAGCGTAGGATTTCACCTGTTACTATTAATACATAGATAATAACATCAATATTACAGAGGATACACTAGGACAAAAATATATACACAGACTGAACAATTCACACAAAAAATAACGCCATGTCATGTATCTGCCCAAACGGCAATTCAAAAGACAAGGTAGTGGAGGAAAAAAAAACAGCATAAGTCACAAAGAGAATACCTGATATCTATCCAAATCACAAAACATGAGTCAAAATCCACAAGTCAATCAAATCAATGAAGTAGACATTGAATAAGTCATCAATAAACATAAAATATTTAAAAATGTACAGAGAAAATTTTTCCTTTGTACACAAATTTATAATTTGTTGTGTCTTTATTGTAAAATCTTGAATATCATGGATATTAATAGAGGAAGTCATAGGTCAATTTTAACTCATAAATATTTCCAAATTTTCAAATTTAACCAAAGCACACTTTTTAATGACACTGCAAAGCTATTATGCTACTGTTATCTTCCTGAATATTATTCCTAAACAGAACTTGTCTTACGAATGATTTAAAATGACTATTTTTCCAGGCAAAAAGAACTGGATGAAAAGCCGAGTTCAGCATGAACACCATGACTGATAAATTCAACCATAGAATCAAGGCACGATCAGAGATATCGCAAGATGAACACACAAATAATAAATTGATGATCGAAAACGGCAACCAACTTAACGTAAAAGTCACTGCCAGAAATCCGTGAATCTTTAACTTTTTGAATTCCATCGTCATCCCACTTCGAGGCAACTTATAAGAGTTTGTCAAATTTTCAGCATTTATTTTCGATCGTTTTTCAAAAGCCACTTTCAACACAAATGCATAAAGTCCAAACTGAATGATACACATAATGAAGAAATGAAAAGATACCAATACGCGGAAAAACTTTGAAACCAACAGTGATAAAATACAGACATTTTGGGCATTGTATTTTCCTGGATAATTAATAAGAGACAAGGCCGTTAGGAGCATTGAATAAATCCATACGATTAAAATACAAACGTGACAAGATCGTACAGACACGATTTTTTCGTATAGTAACGGATAAGAAATGGCGATAAATCGATCTAAAATAATTAACGATAACGAAAATTGAGCAATCAGTGAACCGAACACGATAAATTGGTAATTTAAGTGACAAAAATATTCGTCATTAACCACGGAGGGAGAAAACACGAGTAAAGTTCGGAACAATGGCGTAAAACTCAACAACAAATCGGAAGTCGTCAAATTTAAAAGTAGTTTTCCAGAAATATTTTGATAAAGTTTATATTTAAACACCACTAGTAAAATTAAACCACTTCCCACTAGAATAACAAACTGAATTAAAAACTGAACAACTGAAATCCACACGTTTTCAGAATATGATAGTAGATTAAAAGTAGTATTTGTCATTTTTTGGTACAATGAAATGAATTTTAGTCTGAATAGTTCTCTGATGGCAAATCAAAAGCCTGATCTTTGTGTCTTTTTGAAAACCAGTCCACAATCATAAAACTGTAGTGTCAGTAGGAATATTTTATTTCATACAGTCGTTGACATTAAATTTGCCATCATACTCAAGAGGCAAAGCCATACTAAATTTTGCTGGCAATAGCCTAGACCTTATAATTCAATATCAGTTAAATGTTAACTCCTGATACTAGCAGAGATTTGTCAAAAGATCAATTTTAGAAATGAGCCTAAATTTTGGGAAAATGTTTAAATTGTCTACAACTTCAAGGCTGTAACAAATTACATGTTGTACTGTTTGAGAAATTCACCTTATAAAATATATAACTGGATAAGGTACAAAAAGTTTGAATTGAATTCAAATGTATCTATGAAATAGAAGTCTTATCTGGGATAGCTCCTTTAAGGTTCTAAAATATCTCGCCCAAAATTTTATGACATAATAAAATTCAATAATTAATTAGATTGAAAAACATTTCCAGTATAATTGATCCATTATTACAGAGAAAATAGGCAATATAACACTAGGAACTGCTATCAACAATGCTAAATTATGCATGAAAAACTGCATGACACCCTTTACAATCAAGATTACTGGAAACCATTTTTCATAAAAACCTAGGACTAATTTTTTTTCATAATTGTGAAAATTTTACCTTTTCAAAAATATTTTGGAAGAAGTCAATTTGGATGCAAATTTTCTTCAAAAGTCGGGGGAAAAGGGCACCAAATCTGTATTAATTTTAACAGAAAATCCCTAAAATTTAGTTTCACAGTCGGACATTTCAATGCTCTAATCAGACAATACCAGCAAAAAATCTGATAGTTACCCATATTTTCAGCCAATACAACCGTGGTCATCTGATGCGATGCTTTGGAAATGGCAGAGACTTTAGCAGCGAGAGCACATTCTCCATCTGTGCTGTTTATCAAGGTCACCTGAGCTACTTCTGGACGTGTTGTTCTCCTGTAAATATATCATAATCAGTGTTTACAGTGTGGCCCTTTTAGTCGACTCTCCAAAGCACTTAATCGCAGACGACAATCCAATTCGTTGACAACTGAGCTATTCCACTGCCACAGAATTGCCCCTGAGCTCTTGACATTCTGATCTATGACTCAGCCAAACTCTGAATTCATTAATAGGCTTAGGCCAACAGCGATTCCCCCATTTCAATTTCAACACCAGTGCTAGTGCTTTAATGCCAGGCCCAGTGGCAGTGTCATGGTTCCATCTTTCTCTCACTCACCACAGCAGCAGTGTCTTATATACCAGTATGTCACTCATTCAGGAGTATCAACATCTGACATCAGCACCGATGTCTTTCAGTTGCAGATTGAGGCATGCTTACACTTACCATTGATAACAAGTAGGAACCTCGGCTTCTTCAGGAGAAAACTCTACTTCAAGAGTGAAATTGGAAATGACTGTGCTGTAGTAAGGGAGCAAAACTTTCGGCGTATTTAATTTAGCACCTTGCACAAAATTTGAGAAAATTAATGGGGCCAAAATCACAGCGAAAATAATAAAATTTATTTTGAGAGTTGCCGCCATCCTTTTTTGTTTCATGGAGGCCGCCATTGTTTAAGACGGAAACATCCAGTCTTAATGACCATTGATTTTTCATAAGGTAAATACGACTTGATAATCCAAACTAAAAGCGTGCTTCGAAAGTTACTTCCGGTCCGGTTAACATAAAAAATGAAATTTCGTTTTTGGTTTTAAAATTTGCCTAGATTTTAATAAATCCAAGATGTCAGCGCCCATGACCGGCTTCTTTCTATCTGTCTTTTCTATTTATTTTGTCTAATTGTAATAGAAATCAACTGTGTCAATTGTTGATTAAAGCAAAATTTGGAAATTTCAAAAGGCATCTGTGTAATCCTCCAAATCCAATTGTTTCTTCAAGACCCGTCGGCCAAACTACCTCTTCAAATCCCTCACAATGACAGAATTGAGAGTGACGCCTTTAGGTAAGCAAGAGCTAAATAGAGAGGAAGGGGCATAGCTAAGCATGCCAGTGCATAATAGCATAATCAAACTAAGTACTCCCAAGATCCACAGATCATAGCACCAGTTGTCGTCTGTCAAAATAGCATTCAGAGTCTGGAATATAGACAGATGTGCTTGCGTCTCTTTGAAATTTCAACTATTCAAGTAATCAATTAACTTTTAACTAATTTCTATCTGTGTATATTTCAGGTGCTGGACAAGGTAAGAAATTTAAATTGCTTTTGAAGATGCAGAATATTTTCTTTAACCCCTTCACCATACCCTAACACCACTAGCTGGTGCTCAAATGACTATGTGATGTAATACCCTTATGGTCATCAAGTGATGTTAAATATCAGGGCGTTTGATTTATTTTTTTTTGCGAATTGGACATTTTATAACAAGTAAATTTTTAAACTATTGTATTGTAGATGTAGGGAGAAGTTGTATTTTGTTGACTATTGGAGGTAAAAATATAATGTTAGATTGTGGAATGCACATGGGATACAATGATGAGGTATGTGATTTCCTTAAAGAGACAGGTTTGCCATTTTGAGGTTTTAAAACTTTATATGTGTATCAATTTTCTATCGGGTGTCTGTGGTGGTTCTTAACAATTTCAATAAAATTAATTTTTATGATGTTTTGTATTTGTAGAGACGTTTCCCAGATTTTACATATATAGCTAGACATGGTAAATTAACAGAACATCTAGACTGTGTTATAATAAGGTATGTCGAGTTTGTTTATCTGTATAACTCTTTTGACAAATTCACATACTACTTTACAGAAGGGCAAAGGCATGTGTGCTACTGAAAATGAGCAGTTGCCCCTTATCCCTAGCCTAAACTGAAGCAGGCTTGTTGAAATTGACTGCCACAGTTTTAGCTAAAAGTCCCCCATTGTACACTGATGATATTGTTTTTTTTAACAGCCATTTCCATCTAGACCACTGTGGAGCATTACCGTTTATGACGGAAATGGTGGGATATGATGGTCCTATTTATATGACACATCCTACTAAAGCCATCTGTCCTATTCTCTTGGTGAGTATTTCTTTCATCAACTTTGGGGTTCAAAGCTGAGATGTGCCAAATCATAGAAGCACTGGCTATGGCATCATAATTAATTCTTGCCTTCATGAGGATTCAAACCCACTTCAGGCAATCACTAGGTATATTTTGCTGTCGATATGACACAATTCCTTCAGTGAGAAAAAAAACTCTTAAGAAACTAGCTAGCACAGGCTGGTTTAGATTATTATTGGACTACTAAAAAATACTGAGAGCTATTTTTGTCTCTAATTACAGGAAGACATGAGAAAGATAGCAGTGGACAGAAAAGGTGAAACCAACTTCTTTACCTCTGAGATGATCAAAACATGTATGAAGAAAGTCATAGCTGTTAATTTACATCAAAATATTCAGGTACAGTATAGAGGGTTTGAATTTATCATTTCAGATGAAGTTGATGATACGATAACAAGGGGGTGTAGACCCCCTCCCCCTCAGGGCAGGAAGGAATTGCCTGTGAGTCTTTTTGACTATTCTTTGACCTCTACTCCTGGAGACTCTTGGAAAATATAAAATGAAATGAATGGAGTTTTACGTCCTATTTTTCTGCTTGAGATTCTTGGAGGTGATATGGAATTTACACTCCCATGGAAGCACCGGCCTAGGTCTCTATTGTTGATGGTATATCATTGTTTTATTCAGGTAGATGATGAATTGGAAATCAAAGCTTACTATGCTGGACATGTTTTAGGAGCGGCCATGTTTGAAGTCAGAGTAGGCCAGCAGTCAGTTGTATATACAGTAAGTGATTCAAAACATTGTTACACATATAATTGAGTCTATAGCGTTTTTCACCCAGTCTTAAAAATGATTCCAAGCAATGTCATACAAATCATTGAGTCTATAGACTATTTTATCCAGTCTTGTGATGTATTTTAAGGGAGACTACAATATGACACCTGATAGACATCTGGGAGCAGCATGGATTGATAAATGTCGTCCAGACTTACTGATAACAGAATCTACATACGCTACGACTATCAGAGATTCTAAACGATGTCGGGAGAGAGATTTCTTAAAGAAAGTTCATGATTGTGTTGAAAAGGGAGGGAAGGTAACTTTAACAATTTGCTTTTTATTTTGGTTGATTTGTTGGTAGATGACAAGTTCACATCTGCTTCAAGTAACTGATATGCTTATTAGGAATTTTTTGCCTTAAATAGTGTTTTGGTATGTTCTGATAATACACAGCTTATAAAGGGCCAAATTAAAGCGATACATTCTTCTAAATAGCCAATTTAAAGCGATACATTCTTCTAAATAGCCAATTTACCAGCTGATGAAACTTAGTGTCATATATCTATAGTAATATTATTAAGAATTAAGAAAATCATCTAGTTCTCTAACAATTCAACAAATTTCCTCCTTTCTTTTGGTAGGTTCTGATTCCAGTATTTGCTCTAGGGCGTGCACAAGAATTATGTATATTATTAGAGACCTATTGGGAGAGAATGAACCTTAAAGTTCCTATTTTTTTTTCTCTCGGACTAACAGAAAAGGTACTATGTTATCATAAATTATTATTATTTCTGAATACCTTAGGCTACTTATTATGTTGATAGGGGTATAGTCGTGGAAAGGTAAGTGTTTCGTTTCCAGGATGGAACACACCCAATGAAATTCTGACCACCATTTTTATTCTGGCATTAATCACTCTCCCAAGGGAGATAACTCTTCATACAGATTTGATATCATAAGACTATTATATATTTGCTTGTTGTCTTATTGTTACACCACCATAATCTAGATCTATTTGTGTTTATTTCAGGCTAATAACTATTATAAACTGTTTATAACGTGGACAAGTCAGAAGATTAAGAAGACGTTTGTTGAAAGAAATATGTTTGAGTTTAAACACATCAAGGTAAATAGGATACATAGCAGCAAGGGCTATAACTCTTGCCAATATTCTGAAGGCAGATTTCACTAAAAAAAAAACATTTTGCACGCAGAAAACTATCCTTTGATGTAAAAGATTATGCATATATGATTTCATGGGCATGAAATGCTTCACTAAAAATTTGTGTGTAAACAATTTCAAATTTAAAGGGAGACAATTACAATTCCATTAATGCACTTGAAATTCATCCATTGAACTTGTCATTTTAAAATCTTGCGTGACAACATTTTTCAAACATGACCTAATATTTTCCATTATTGTGTGAAATTATTAAATTTTTTGACAGCCATTTGATAGAAGTTATATCGAGAATCCTGGTCCAATGGTAGTGTTCGCGACACCTGGAATGTTGCATGCTGGTCTATCTTTACAAGTCTTCAAAGCATGGGCACCATATGAGCAAAATATGGTAAGAATTCAGGCCATTTTCTTGAATGATTTAAAAATATTTAGAACTTCAAAGATTCAACAACTGAGGAGAAACTTACTTTGCAAAAGGACCATCATTGATACATAAGACAGAGATGTGACCATTGTCCACTTTATCCAAAAAGTTTCATAAGAGGCAGTGAATTTTAACCAATCAAAACAATTATTCGCATACGAGAAGGGTTTAGTTTACTCATGAAATTAACTAGAAAATTCTTTTGTGTGAACTGAAGACCCTATAATGTAATAACATTTTAGGTAATCATGCCAGGATACTGTGTAGCAGGAACAGTAGGACATAAAATATTGAACGGTCAGAGAAAGATAGAGATGGAAAATAAACACATGGTAAGAACTACTTCAAATATTCTTATGGATCCAACTGGTTCTTGAGAATACTTTCCGCCAGCTTCATTAGGCCTCAGGCACCACTTAAGGGGGATAATTCTTTTTACTGACTTGATAGATTAAGACCACAATGAACAATAGAATACTTGATGTTGCCCCTTTTTTTTTTACTCTCCTAAGGGAGAAAACTCTGCATACAGACTTGATATATTAAGACCACAATATGACACATAAGCTTGTGATGGAGTCAGCTATTTAGTCAGAAAAACGGTTTTTACTCTTTTTCATTCTAGTTAGATGTGAAGCTATCTGTACAGTATATGTCATTCAGTGCCCACGCCGATGCCAAGGGAATTATGACTCTTATAAACCAATGTGAGCCTAAAAATGTCATGCTGGTTCACGGAGAAGGCGGGAAGATGGAATTCTTAAAAACTAAAATTGAAAAAGAATTTGGTAAGATATCACACGAACAAATTATCAATTGAAACCTCTGTTCTACTTCTAAACTAGAGAGCCTCAGTAATATTAAAACTTCAATATCATGTACAATGTAATTCTGTTTCAACTAGAGCGTATCTCATGCTACCGACATATGCTTTAGATATGCAATCCTCGTCAGGATAGCAAAGCAAAGAACTCTCTTTAGTCTGTGACTCATTCAAGACTTACTGAAAGGAATGTATTAGATATTTTTTATTGTAGGTATTAATTGTTATATGCCAGCTAATGGAGAGACAGCTGAAATAGAAACAGTACATGATATACCTGTTGATATTTCACTTAATCTCTTAAAACGAGAGTCTTCCCTGGCTTCTTCTAGTAAGTTTACTTTTTATTTTGATATTTACCCAAATCATGTCTTACAATACGTTGCTCAGGAGTGTATCTAGGAAATACCTGAGGGTGGGGGGCGGGGAAAAATGAGAGGTGTCTCTCCGGGGTGAATCTGAAAGGCCGGCGTCCCTTGAGGTTGTGGTCTAGGGGGATGCCAGAGACCCAATGGCCTACCCCCTAAATACGCCATTGATATTACATGTAAGTATATTAATTATATGTAGTATGGTTCTGTTTTTTAGGTTTAGAACCCCCAGATCCTAAAAAACCTTGTGTATTACATGGTGCTTTAGTCATGAAGTCAAACGTAAGTATATTTGACTCACATATTGATAAGCAGTAGATGTATAAAATATGAAAGTGGTCATTTGTCAATTCAAATGGTATATTTTGAAATTTCAATAGTCCAAAAGCAGAGTTGATACCGAACCATGTGGTCAATTTTAAAGAAAAATTAGACTATGTATTTGTAAAAATATTAAAATATCAGAACAAGAATTTTTAGTGAGTAAAATACAACACTGTGTGTTTATTGTAGAAACTTCAACTGATAGAGCCAGCAACAGCTTTCAGAGAGCTAGGCCTTCAGGAACATCATCTCCGGTTTACTTGTACAGTTTCTATAGAAGATGAAGGTCCTGTTTCACAAACTGTTGATACTATTTATAAACTTACTAAAAGGTAGGTATCAAAACAGTGGATAGGTTCATATATGAGCAGTTTTCATCCTTCTTCTTCTTGGAGGATGGTTTCTGCTTCCATATCGCATACATTGAGTAAGAAGTTTTCATCCATCAAAGGATCCACCTTTCTACCCACTCTCAGCTTCACAAAGGTTTTGTCTTGACCAAATTTCATGGCATGGTTTTTTTTAACCAAGATACCAGCTTCGTTTCTTGTGGAATGTGTATCCTGTCTACCACCTGATCCTTGAATAGACTTCATTGTTTGTTAAACTCAATTCATCTGTTTATTCAGAGAATGTCCACAAGATTGTCTGGTTTATATTATTGATATAATTTATTAACAGTAAACTTAGTAACTATCCAGTCCAATATTCTACTGATGGTAGTATAACAGTATCAGAATCAGTACTGATTAAAGTTTCTGGAGATGAAGAGGATGATACTAAAGATATCCTGGTTTCTTGGTCCTATCAGGTTGGTTCAGGGTTTTCAATATTTTTTCAAATGCATGACATCTGATAATGTTAACAGTTAAAATTACAACATAAGAACGTAGGCCTGTTGGGGGGCTGGCTAGTTTACCTGCAATTTTCCCTACAGTTGTTCTTTTTTCGCACAATATGTTTTACGGTCCCTTCCCAAAAAGTTAGTATTTGAGAGGCAACCTCTTTCCAATCCTGTTATTTTTTCGAGTATGACAATGATTATTTCAGGATGAGGAGTTGGGAAGTTATTTATTGAAGATTCTACGAAGTGAATTGTTAACTTGATTGGACCAGGGTTTCACCAATTCAAGACTCGCCATCAGAATGTTGTATCGTATTGGACAACAGGCCCCTTGGATTTCTATCGGATTTGACTACAGGCCCTTTGTTTTGTCTGTTCAGTCAAATTGGAAGAACAGAGTGGAATATTGTGCTAATTTTGTGATAATTGTATCCTTATGAAAGTAATCCCATCTAGATAATTTTGTGAACAATTGGAGATAAATTTCAGACGAATAATAATAGTTCTTACTTCTATCTTCAGTTGGCAAACTTTCGCCAAGATATTTCAGTAAAGGAACAAAAAACACAGTTAAAGTTTGATATTTTATAAAAGCAATATAAAAATATCATCATTGATTCATTCATTGGTTTTATCATTTACATAGTGTCATGATATTTCTTATGTTAGATGAATGGAGTGCAGTGTACAATAAGGGAAAATTTACCAAGACCGTGGTCATTTTTTTTATAACGAATTTTCATGATATTCATTTTTTGTACCAAATCAAAATCATATTTATAAAATTTCACATGAATGGGGTGTTGTGTGCAATGAGGGAAAAATTGCTGAAACAGATGCAAAAGAGTGGTCTTTTATCAATTTCCAACTATTGTGAGATCTTTTATTGATGAGCAGAGTCATAAAACACAATTAACAGATTATGAGATCTCTCCAAAAATAACTTATATAAATTTCACAACAAATGGCTTTATACATTAATGATGGCCAGAAAATTGTTACTATATACAAGAGGTAGATTTTTCAAAGTTTAGCTGCTTGTTCATACGGAAATGGGGCTTAATATACATATTACCGTTAAATATGTGCATATATTACAAACTCGTTTACATACTGATTATTATGTACATAATTTACACTCATTTACCTGATTTGTACATAATGTAAATACTTAAAACATCAATGCTAATGAAAATGAATATATTTGTTGCCAAAGGAAGACATCATACTTTCACACTTTCTTGTTATTAGAAGCATGTGTATACTTCCCCTTGATGTGATTGTAGACAAACTATATACATATACATGATCAATAAAAAGTATCAAATTTTTTCTTGCATAGTTTTTAGTCATTGTGCATAAATAGAGCTGAGATCAGAATTGCATTTTCTGTTCTGCATATTATTGTGCTTAGGAAATGAAAAAATGAATTATTTTGGAAACCTTCAGTTCTGACCCAGATCCTTTTGAGGAAACCGTATTTAATTAACAGAATGAAATAGTTTTATATCCCACTGTTCTGTATCTTATTGGACTAATGAAATGAAATGGAGTTTTATATCCTACTGTTCTGTATCTTATTGGACTGATGAAATGAAATGGAGTTTTATATCCTACTGTTCTGTATCTTATTGGACTGATGAAATGAAATGGAGTTTTATATCCTACTGTTCTGTATCTTATTGGACTAATGAAATGAATAGAGTTTTATATCCTACTGTTCTGTATCTTATTGGACTAATGAAATGAAATGGGTGTTTGATGCCCTATTATTTTGTACCTTATTGAGCTTATGAAATGAAATGGGGGTTGTGCCCTACTGTTGTGTATCTTATTGGACTAATGAAATGAAACGAGAGTTTGATGCCCTATTATTTTGTACCTGATTGAGACGTCAAAAATGACTTGCATAACCACATCTGCCTTTTACAAGGTATATCAGCCACTACCAAAACTACTTTTCTACACTAGAGACAAGGAATTTAAACCAAACAGAATATGACCTAAATAAATTGAATATAATGTTTACTCAGACAACTAATCTGTACTAAATTTCTACTCTGGATCCTAATCCCTCGGCTCTGATTGGTTAGTAAACAAAATAAATCAGGAATAACCAATCAGGTTATGGCATAATGAAGTTCTGATATCTAAAACGATAAACCCTTCCTTACATAGCGCTGTTAGGCTTTTGTGACAAAATCGCTCAGTTACATTGTGTTTTTAGGTTTTGTAAATTAAACGCTTCACTATGTTACATTACTAAGTATTTGTACATCGCTCTAAGGTTTCATATGTCAGTAAGTCTCCCTCAACAACACAAAACTGCTTTGGAAAGGGAGACGACTGCATTCAAAACTTGATTGTTTACCTTCACAACAATTCAATTAATGATATCACATATTCACAATCACTTTTCTACAGAATTCCTAAAAACACATGTCCATTTGCTAAGATCTGGCTTGAACAAACACTGTCTCTTGAGGATGGAGTCCTGCTTTCTGAATGGTTTGTTTCATATCTAAATAAGACAGTTGTCTACGAGGAAAGTTTGTCACTAATTCAAAGCGTTCTGGAGAAAATCCTTTTGATGCTGCAAATTTTACTAGTGCCTGAAAATAAAATCAGATTTAAGTGAAAATGTTATGTCTAGGTCTAAAATTTCAAAGGTTTCATTCCAGTGTTTAATTCTGAAAAGGGACACATGTAGCTGAAACTGAGAATGAAAGAAAGAAACAACATATTTTACAAGGATAACAACTTAGGTTCAAAATCAAGGATCCTTTCTACCAGCTGGTCCTCGGCCAAACCTCTTGGCATTGATCTTTGCTGGATTATCAATACCCATTTACAGCTGGGTGGACTGGAATTAAGAGTGAAGATGATGTATTCAAGGTGTGTTGACTTACCATTAATTTTGAAGAGCATGGTATTGATAACTGTTCTCTTTTACCATCGGGAAACCTCACCATTAAATTGGTCGAATCATCTAAAAATATACAACATACACATCTCTAGTAAGTCTACAATCAATGTTTTATCAACTTCTAAATGATTTACTACTAACATCACTTGAGAAATATTGCCGATTTCTAAATGATTTACTACTAACATCACTAGAGAAATATTGCCGATTTCTAAATGATTTACTACTAACATCACTAGAGAAATATTGCCGATTTCTAAATGATTTACTACTAACATCACTAGAGAAATATTGCCGATTTCTAAATGATTTACTACTAACATCACTAGAGAAATATTGCCGATTTCTAAATGATTTACTACTAACATCACTAGAGAAATATTGCCGATTTCTAAATGATTTACTACAAACATCACTAGAGAAATATTGCCGATTTCTAAATGATTAACTACAAAAATAACTAAATTACTTATTACATCACAAATAATGCAGTATCTTTACTACTAACATCACTAACATACTGTCTTCCCAATTTCTAAATGATTTACTACAAACATCACTAGTGAATGTCTTGCAGATTTCTAAATAAATTACTTATAACATCACTCATGCAGTTTCTTTACTACTAACATCACTTGTGAATGTCTCGCCAATTTCTAAATGATTTACTACTAACATCACTAAAAGAAAGCATAATGTAGTCTTACCTTCTGTATTTCCAAGATAACGTTCCCAAGTTAATTCAGTATTGATACTGTCAGATAGACAATAACTAGAGTCTGTAGATTCACTGGTTTGTGACGTATTCACATTGTTATTAGAGACACTCTGGTCATGTGACCCACTCGCGATTTCACCGTTACTTTCGCTTTTAAGGACATCAGTTTTTTGAGCATTTTTGGAAGTTTTTGTGCCCTTTGACCCTGAATTGTTCGTGTTGATTGGTTCCTCGTCAGAATCGGAAAATGTTTCGACATCACTATCACAATCTGAATCGGTTTCGAAAACAACTTTCTTTTTTTCTTGCACCATTGATGCCTTTATTGCTGCCTCTAGTTGTGCCTCTTCTGTTGCGTCCACTAAAGAATTCTGAAAAAAAGACAAACAATGTATGAATCTAGGATTTGCACTAAAGCCTTTTTCCCAGTGTTGAACAATATATGAGTTTTTATTAATTTTTAGTTTTCTATTTAAGTTCGGTTCCCTTATTTTGATTTATTTATATATATATTCCCTTATTGCACTGCTAATACTTATATAAATCGAAAGTAGAGGTGTTCTAATGATTGGGAAAAATACCAGTTTGTCTCAGAAGTCAATAATTAACTTGACCAAGAAAAATAAGCACAGACAACTTTAATGTCAGATGTAGTATTCCTTTATGACTTATATTTGGTTATAAATTTTTTCAAAACAGCCAGATTTTCAAAATTGTGAATAACTATGCTCTTTCACTATAATATAAATATTTCAAACGATACCAAAATTAATCAATGTTTACTATCACTTGAAATAATAATGGTGTCTCATGATAAGAAAAGAAAATTCTACCTTTTTTAATCGTTTTCTCGGTGGGCTGGAATCACTGTTACTTTCTAATGATGAATGGACTGCTAGAAATTCTGATACTGAAAAATACAGAGAAATCTTGACATTGAAAGATTGGTTCAAATTGCTGGGAGTTTGGCCAAAAACTAATTGAGAAAAATTGGTTGAAAGTATTATTGCCTCATAGCAGGATCAACTACAGACCCCTTCACAGTGAGCAGGCTTCAAATTTGCACAGCTACCTTCAGTTTTATACAAGTGCGATGATCACAGCAACGTTTGTAGAAATGAATTAAAATAAATCAGTTTACATACCATTATCACAGAATTTTAAGGCATCCATTGTATTCCAATTCATCATGTTTTCACCTGAAATATATTCAAAATTTCTCCTTAAAAATCATACATAAGGCACTTTCAGGAAGTCAATCCCACCTACCAGACGGTCCTTGATCAAAAGTGTACCTATTTACTAAAATAATGGGAAAAGATGACATATTCTACAGCTTGAAGACATTTGATAAAACTCATTATCATGTTAAGAAATGTTTCGGATATATCATCATCATCAGGACAGCTAGTTTTGGAACTGTTGGGTAAAACTCTAGAAGAATGAGCAAAGTTAGTCAAAAAGAAGAGATATCTTACCAGTAATGGGATCTATAATAGCTATATAAGGCCATTGAACTACTTTATAAAACTGAATATACTTCGTTCCTTCTTCACTGTCATGGTACACCTATAAATAATATTTAATTGGGAGTAAAAAATAAACCGAGATCAATGTGAATCTGTCAGTTGATATTGGGAAAAATTCTTAGAGCTATCGACCACATACCTTGATGGATATTGCTGTCCTATCTTGTCATCCTTGGCTCTATGAATGCTAATGGCTATTTTATCACTTTCCATTAGTTTGATAAGAAAATATTAACGATTTCATGTCTCAATTTATTAACAACAATATATTTCTAATCAAATGATTGCATTCCTCCATTAACCATAAAGTAGGTTTTCTTAACTTTTCATAAGTATGAGGGACAATGATTCACATCGATTCACACCATTCCAATATTCAATCCGATGTTTGCAGTTCTTGCAATAGCACTAAAATTAATGTTATATGATGTTGCTATTGCAAAGACCCTTGGAATTTAAACATTCACCGAGACATAGACTTTAGGGCTTTAAAACTGACCTGCCAGAAGATAAAATGTTGTTTAATCATTCCTCGAACAGCTTCGTTACTCCAAACATCACGATTTAAAACCTGGCATTGAAATTCCTGTACATTCTGTATATTCACTAGTAACCATTTCTTCTTGTTCTGTCCTGCCTCTCGTGCCTGGAACAATACAAAACAAGGTTACAATTGTAATGGGAGATATACATCCAAATTATGTACTGTGTGCAATTAGGGAAATTCTGCAAGCCAAAGGCATTAAGATATTCATTTCCATTTTGAAACCGTTGAGAGGACTTTAGCATGAGAAGCCTATAGCACTTTACTTCTTCATTCCTTGTCTCATATAAACTAGATGCTTTTTCCATGTAGTCCCATCTGATGTGCATCAATGACTGGGGGCAACCAGGTTGAAATCTTTCAAAGTTTGTGGTTGCTTACCTTTTGGAATGTTCCTTTAAATGTGATGTCTATAGGAGGACGGAATAAATCTTCTAGTGTTCTCTGTTTGGCAGCTTTATTAGGTTGAGTACTACTCGAGGCACTGTTTAAATTTTCTTCTTGCTGTCCTGTAATTTAAGGGTCATGGCTGAAACATATTTCATGTTAAAGAACCAATGGACATTGTCAGAAAATCTTACTAAATTGACTTGTAATATATATCAAGACAAACTCAGGCCTATTGGGAATAGAATTGTTTAATGGTCCTTCATACTATGTCTTGTCAGCCTACTTACTAGTTTCTGCTTGAAAATCTCTGAATCCATCAAAAACGGAAGCTGCTGGTCTTCTTCTACCTCTGTATGCTGAAATAAACAGCAAAATGTAGGTACATTCAAGCAGAAATATTTAAGCTTAATACATAGATTATAAAACAATAAAAGTTTAAAAGATAAACACCAGCCTATGATGCATATTGATGCTATCAGTGACTCACATACACAAAAAAAACTTTTAATAATCTCTTTAAGGAATAGAGGCTTACCAAGGACTGGACCCTCTTCAACTAAAACTTCTCTCTTCTGTGGAATAGGTGCTCGAACATCACTAGGAAATAAAATTATTAGTTATATAAAATCATGATATCTTTTTCTTGCAAAACGTAAATCAGACATTTGGGTCCTCATCCATTAACACATACAGTCTGTAGCACACATCTGAAAGACCAGATGCCTTTTCCATATCAGCCATTCTGACTTGCATTTCTGACAGGGGAAACCAGGAATGTCCAGCAAAGATAGTAAAAATGGTGGTTGTCTTACTCAACATCATCAATAAATTGTTCCAGATCAGCTGCTGAAGGAGCACACTGACCATCTCCTTGCTGCCCGACATCACCAACATCCATGTGCATCCCTATGGCCATTTCCAGGTTATTATTACAGGCCTCCAACAATCTACCTCCCACATCTCGATCAGCACCTGAATTGAGAAAATACACTTCTATAGGCACATTGCCTTCATGTTTAAATGTCCATTTATACCTAAAAACCATCTTTTTATGTCTAAAAACATATTACATACAGGAAGTGACAGCAATTTAAAATACTAAGAAATGATTCATGTCATACTGGAAGAGACTAAAGAGAAGAGAACCTGGTTTTACAGTTTAATTCTAATTGTGAAAAGTGATACAGGTAACATATTGAGGCTTAAGCCTTAGATCTATGTGAACTAAGTCATTTAAATCTATTATTGGGCTAATCAAATTACAAAATATAATTTAGATTTATTAGAAGCTCAGGCTTTATACTGGCACAACTAATTGCTTGAACACCAAGGTGTAGACTCATTTGGATGAAGCCATTTATACAGGCATTGATTGGACTCCAATTTGGAGGGGAGGGGGTAATGAAAAATGTAAACAAAGAATCTAAAAGGAACCGACAAGCCCAAAATGACCTATGTTAATGAATTATTAAGCAAAATTTGTGAATTTCCGAGACATCATGTCCAAAACTACAAAATGTAAGGGGCAATAATATGTGTTAATACGGTCTTAACCTGTCACGGCACAAAACTGATCTATAAGTTCCCTCTTGTCAACATTCGCAGTCGCCATCTTTCTTTCGCGCTCTTCCCGTTCGAGGATTTGTCAACAGAGTAACGTCCCTTGAATTAGTACGAACAGTCTTCAGTACGTTTTGTTTATAAGAAGAAAAATTCGAAGAAATGTAAATCTTGTATTGATCATGAGTTAACGTGAATGCAGGTAGACATAGTTGTAGCTTGTGTTAGTTCCCCATCCAACTATATAGTTTTTTAAAGTAACATTAGCATGAAAAACGATACTTTCAAGTGAAATGAAAGGGTGGCTCTTTACAACCGAATAAGATTTAAGATCAAAACAAACATTATCTTGCCCACTAATCAACTATCATGAACTATCAAAGGTAGTTATGTGGACTTACGATTTGTTATTAATCAATGTATTTGTTATTTCAGAGAGTTGATAGTTAACCAAAGTCGAAAATTAAGAAACGTTAATAATGGGGAAGGAAAAAGGAGGATTTTTAACGCCGAAAGCCATTGCTAATCGGATCAAGGCTAAGGGTTTACAGAAACTAAGATGGTACTGTGAGATGTGTCAAAAACAATGTAGAGATGAGGCAAGTAGACTTTAGAGTCACTAATGTCAATGTCTTAACAAAATTTCCCTCATTGTATACTGCACCACATTGCTTATTATATCAACCTTATTTTTCTGCCTAATAATGCCTGATATTTACATGAAGATAAAAGAGAAATGCCAGACAACAAATGGTGACATAAGGTTGATTTATATGTGCATTAACCATTATTGGTTATGTGATTTATTTTTTATGAATTTCAGAATGGTTTTAAATGTCACATGACGTCCGAGTCCCATCAGAGACAATTGTTATTATTCGCTGAAAATCCTGATGAATATATCGACTCATTTTCCAAGTAAGTTATCTCCCTTGCTTATAAGTCCTTAAATTTTGAACCCCAAACTATTTCAGTCATATCCTGCTAGGCTCCTTTCCAATTAAGTTTTTTGGTTTCCACTCAGAAGCTGACAATACCTCAATAAAGATTTTTAGGTATGTGGACTCTCTGAAAAGGATGTCAAGCCCAAATACCTAATAATCACAAAACGGAAAGAAATGCCGAGTTGACTAATTACTCTGCAAAAGGATTCTCGTTCTCTTTCTGTTATTTCACATTTTTTTCTTCAGTGAATTTGCCGAAGATTTTTTAGAAGTTTTACGTAGAAGATGTGGTACTAAGAGAATCCATGCTAATATTGTGTATCAGGAATATATCGCTACTAGAAATCATGTTCATATGAACTCTACCCAGTGGGAGACTCTTACTGATTTTGTCAAATGGTTGGGTAGGGAAGGTAAGAATTTTGGTATTTTGTAAGAGGTATTTCTTAGCTGAAACTGAAACTCGACTGTAACATAATCAGTTAGAGTGTTGAAATCTTGAAGTCAAACAAATGGCAGTTATGTGTTCTAATCCGGTCAGGCTGTGAAAGTCTGGTCCTTTTCTCATTATTCCAGTCAACCTAGCTGTATATGGGGACAGATAATCCGAGAAAGAACAATGCCAAGAAGTTTGGTCAAGAGCCTAAATTGTTATCCTTGTCAAAAGAGGTTAATCTGCATTTAGACTAGGATATAGATTAAATATGAATATTCATTTATTTTGGCAACATACTGTATCCCTTTGAATTATATATTGAAAAATTAAAACAGAACCTGAAACATGAGAGTTTCATGCTATGCAATCTGACCTGCATCCCTACTGATGTCCCTTTATCTTATAGGTAAATGTGTGGTAGATTTGACGGAGAAAGGATGGTTTATAACATACATTGACCGAGACCCAGAAACTATTAAACGACAAGAGTCCATCAAACAGAAAGAAAAAATGGACATGGATGATGAAGAACGAACTTCCAAGTTTATCCAAAAACAAATAGAGAAGGCTGCAGCTTCAGAAAAATGCAGACATGAAACAGAATTCACTGATTTAAAGAGAGAAGATACCGAAGAAAAAGGTATTTTGAGGGATTTTTTATACTTTATATGCAGTTGTTAACCCTTGAAATGGCTTGTCAACCGGGAATATGCATTAAAGGAAGTGAGAAAAAAAAAATTTTGCCGTGGTACGTATGATTTATAGGTATAGATTTTCTCAAGATATACTCGAGGGTAAAAAGGGGTTCACATTATTATTATATACCAATAAGTATTTTGTTTCTTTCAGTGGTGTTTGCTATGCCAACAGCTTTAAAGAAATCTGACCAACCTTCTACGTAAGTGAAGCTCATTGTTATACATCTTTCTTTCTTAATTAGGTTAATTATGTTGAAAACTCGTTAGGGTGAGGCTGTAGCGTGATAGAATCAAATGAATTTAGATGCCCATTTTCACATTTTTAAATTGTTTTAGTTTTCTTTGTCTTAATAAAAAAACAAAAAAAAATCTAAGCATTACAATTTCAGGTCCAAACTAACAGAGAATGTGTTAAAGAAGGTATCAGAAAGTAAAGAAAAACCAGAATTAGTCCATACTCCTAAAACTGGACAGAAGAGAAAATCAGCTCTTGAGGAAATTATGGAGGTATGTAGAGGAAACTTGAACGATTATGTCCTACTATGGAAGGTAATTGTTGCCAAAATTAGTCACAAAGTCACTGGTCTAAACACAGTGTGAAAACTAAAAGGGTGGCACTTGATTGGAGAGGTCTGAACAGGTTCTGTCAGTCTCAATTTTGCCTCAAATAGAACAGTATGAAAGTAGATATGTCACATTCAAAATTTATTTTCTTCCCCGCCCTTTTGAATTCTGCCTGCACTTCTTAAAATTCCTTGCATAATATTTTTAGTTTGAAGAAAAAACAAAAGAGAAGAAAAACAGGAAAGATTATTGGTTACATAAAGATATAGTAGTGAAAATTATTTTTAAAAAACTGGGAGAAAAATATTACAAGAAAAAAGGATATATAAAGGTAGGAATTGTTTGTTGAATTAAAAAGTTGAAGCAAAACTTTTACATGTCCAAATATTTCTTGATATTTGAAGATGGGATTGTGTGACTAATGGCTAACCAAATTTATAACTCCTACTTCATAAATTGATAAAGATCAGCCAAGTACGACTTTAAGCTTGTTGATTTTATTTTTTTAGGAAGTAAAAGATCTGTATACAGGCTATGTTAAAATGCTGGATAGTGGAGATACGTTAAAGATAGATCAAACACATGTTGAAACAGTTATACCATCTTTAGGTAAGTGGCTTGAAAATTCTTTGACTCACAGGCACCTGTTTCTATTTATAGTCAACTCTATCATAGTATACGGTATATATACTCATAGAGTCGACTATTGATAGAAACAGGTGCCTGTGAGTCGACTCCCCTCTTACAAAATATTGATTTGTACACGACTGTATTTTCCCTATTAATATACCCAAGCTCCAAATCCTTCGACTTTTAGATAAAGCACACCTCAAATAATTCATACCCTCTTTAGAGATAGACTCAAGCTGTGTGGACTTTTTGAAAGTAATGTCATGTTGACAAACCAAGTCACATAATGTCATCAGGTTGTCAGGAAGGGAGTGGATATCCTATCTTACTAAACCTTCCACAGGACTTAATCTATAGTCGAACTCACATTCAATAAAATTAATGAGCTGAACCTTACTAATTAGGTATTGTAATTTTTCTGATCTTCTATTGTAGGTAAAACAGTAATGATTTGTAATGGAGCCTATCGTGGTCAAACAGCTAGTTTAGAAGAACTGAATGAAAAGAAATTTTCTTGTACTATCAAATTAGACAGTGTTAGTATATATTAAGCCCCCTCATTTTAACCCGAGTGCTCTCTGAACTTAGCTGTTCATGCTTGGGCCTCTTCTTCTCAAAAACCTATCTTAAAATAAATTTGAATTTCATTTGATTCCATACTAAAAAAATATTAACAAATATGATCACTTGATTTAATTATTTAATGAATAAGGCAACTGTTTCCTGAGCAAAAGTTGATAGGAGTTCTATTCTTAATTGTTGTGTTGGGGAACCTTGCAGCTTGTTCAAAGTGTTTTATGTTGAACTGTTTTTATTTCAGGGTGTATTAAAAGGAAGACCTATAACCAATGTACAATATGAAGATATCAGTAAACTCCATCAACCATCTTGATAGATTGATGAACTCTAATTGGAAAACGGTTTATCCATTAATCAATGGCATTTCAACAGAACAGATAGCCAACAGTGTACAGTCACCTCATCACTGAGTGGTACCTTGTTTCAGTTTTAGAAAAAAAGAGGGATATAACAAGAGATTTCTCTATCAATAAAGGTGCTACTGTGGTAAAATTTCCCTCTTGCAGTCTGTATCTTTTCGCCCATTTTAATTGACTCAAATTCGGCCGAAGAGTAGGATGTAAAACTCCATTAATTTGTATTCATTGTAAATAGATGTATGTACATTTTAAAATAACAAATAAAAAAATCCATGCATATTGTCTTATATATACCTTCAAACCAGGTTGAAACACCAAATTTTTCTGAAATCTGACCAGGAACAAAGACGCCCTTATATTGAGATTTGTGGTATTCCTGCAATTTTTCAGACTCCAAAACTTGCCCTCCTGATGCTGACTTGATATCCATAACATGTGTGACATGTCAGCAGCATGAGATGAGATGAGATCCATTAGAATAAATTAGTTTGTAACATAATTCTAATGAATTCGTTTTGATCAATGAGTCCATCTCCATTCACGTCTGCTTCTACTATCATCTCTTCTAAATCTTTCTTAGTAAATTTTAATCCTGTTTCTTGACAGATTTTTATCAGATTGTCCAAGGATATGGACCCAGTTTTCTCTGCAAGGAAAATAATTGTAAATATCAGGGTTTTTAGTCAGAGGAGTGTTCAAGTTTCCCTCATTGCATACAGCATGTATAACTCCCTGACAAGAAAAAGAACAGTTGATTATTATATAGCCAATAAGGATATATATGTCCATTTAAGGGATACACCTGTATAAATATTTGCTTTATCTCATCCATTTCATAATGAGACTTTTCCCTCAAGAAAATTTCAACAGATGCATAAATTGTACATCTTTCACATGGGACTAATTTTAAGCTTACACAAAAAGGTGATGTACCTAAATCAAACATTTGAAAACCTTTAATAATCTCATCATAAACATCACGTGTATCACCCTGTCTATCTATTACTGTCTCTAAAAACTCTGTAAAGTTTATCAAACTGAAAGTAGAATTTAATCAAATTCAATTGAGTTAGATTAGTTTATGTTTGTTATGGCTACGTTGGCGTGACGCCTTATCTTGGTCTGAAAGTCATTGCAAGTTGATTCCTAATAAAATAAATTCCATGAAATTGTGTCAAGGACAAATCAGCTGGTAGACAAGATCCTAGAGAACCTAAGTTCTAATCATTTTAAAATCATTACCAAGAGGTCTGTCCAAGGATCAGCTGGTAGACAGGATCCTCGTGAACCTAAGTTGTTATCTTTATAAACAAGTAAAATCCTGAATATGTTACCTGGATCCTTTATTACTGGAATCTGCTATTAATTTGTGAGCATCTGCTTTGGAGACCTTAAATCCTAAAGCTTTTAAACTTCTCCTCAACTCAGCTGCCCCTATCAACCTGAAAATAGCCACAGATTTAAATTACATGTAATTAGTTTTTGGTATGACTTCACTCTGGACGCAATTAGGTGTGTCAGCTAAATTAAAGACTATACAGATCGAAATATATTCATGAATGAATGAAGTTTTAAGTCCAACTTTAGTCCCAATTTTTAATTTCCAACCCTCAGGGATCTTTAACGTACACAGCCTGAATCTCATACGCAAGCCTTTGCCGATTTATGTTAGTATTTGACTATGTTTTTTTCAATGTTTATTAGATATTTCAAGTAAATTGGAATATTACCCCCCTATAACAAATACTCAAATTAAGAAGAATCATATCCTACCCATCATTATTAATATCAAACAAATCAAACACAACTCTTAAATCTCGTATTTCTTGTGGTGTTAATTCATTTAATACTCTAGTTGATACTTTAAAACCATGCACTTCTTTTTCATCTACTGGATTGGACGTTAACAGATTAACAAGCTGAAAAAGGGTGAAAAAAAACGTAGCAATTCAGTATTCCATACACAGTCTGTTTTAAGATGCCTTGAACATATGATCACCCTTGACAAAGGGAAAATAATTCAAATGGACTTGGGGATACACAATTTAGCAAGTCAGTATTCCTATAGGCCTAAACACAATTAGTTTTTAGATGCATTGATACATCTGACCACTGTGAATTGACTATAAACGAAAAGAGGTAGTTATACAAGACCCATCGCTGATGACCGTCATCCGTCTTGAACATTGAAGAAACAATTGAACGAAAACTAGCAAAAATTCAATCAGACATAAATAAAATACACCTGTTCATTGAGATGGGCCTTATTCTATTCAGATAAACAATTCCTAACTCAGCAGCCTGAATATTGCACTTTATCATTATATATTCTTAATTAGCAGTTAAGTTAACAAACCTTTTCTCGGGGTAAAATGGGCTGAGCAACTGCCTCTGGTTTGAGAGGATCACGGTTGACTTTCTGAGAAGCAGCCGATTCCTTCGTCCCTTTCTTGCCCTTTTTCTTCCCTTTTCCTTTCTTCTTCATAGGCATCTTGCCGACTTATTTTATTATAATTATATCAATCATCAAGATTCCTTTGCAAAATAAAACCTACAAAAAGTTTAGTTTCCTCAAACCGGAAGCGTATCATCCACCATATTGTAAACAAATTACCTGTCGTCATGCGTGACGTCATTAACAGGTGCCCGTCACTTCGTAACGAGACTTTTCGTAACGATAATTTTCACTTTTTTTTCAATAGTCAATTCGAAAAGATATTTATAGCAATGATTCAAAAATGTCATCAAGTCAGAAATGAATTCAAACCCTTCCAAAATGGCCCCTTCCTTGACTAAAGATTTTAGACAATTGTTTGCCTACATTGTCCTACATGTATATAAGCCATTTGTGATTTGTGATTTTATTGAAAATCATTATATTTCATTTACAAAACAACAAAATAACATTTGACATTAAATAAACTTTATCATGTAATCAGTGGTTTAAACAAGAAGCTGTATAGATCAAAACAAAATTTTCAGACTATTAAAAAAAAAAAACCTACACAAAAATGATAAAGGCAATAATAATAGATAAGCCAAATAAATATGTTAAAAATATAAGAGGTTATTGAATCTAAGACATGTCAAAATAGTCACAAAGTAAATCTATATCCAAATTCTAACAAAAATGTAACATTATCTGGCTAGATCTAAATCTTTGTAGAGAATCAAAAATCTTAAGGGATTGTCTTCTAAATATTTTATGTATATCAGGGACACTGATAGCAGTGATTTGTACCATTCCAATTTTCAGTCAGACGTCTGTGGCTTTTGCAGTTCCACTAAAATTAAGCATTTTAAGATGTCACTATCGCAAAAGTTGCTATTGATATTTAAGGACCTTTGCGATAGTGACGTCATAACACACAAAGTTTAAGTGGAATTGCAAGAATACATATAAAACATTTAGAAAACCCCTTACATTCCCCCTTAAAGAACTATATTGCATTGTAGGGTATTCTATTAGCTCTGAGTTCTATTTGAAAATATAATTCTATTGCTATGTTTTTAATGTAAAATATAATAATTTATTCAGCCAGTCCCAAATCTCTACACAGTTGAGTCTCTGTCAAGTTGTGCATTTCACCTCGATTCTGCTGAAAGTTATCAATGGTTCTTTGTCTGGCTTCTTCCCAGTCATTCAGGGCTCTGAAATAGATAGATGTTGTCACAAAATTACTCTGTATATATTAACCAGGCTCCCTTATCAATAAATAACTGAAGGGTTGACTTTATCCACATAGCTTTGTAAGAGGAGGTGAACATTAACCGATCAAAACAACCCTATTCATATGTGAGGGGTTGCCCTTACACATACAATATTCACAAAGATTGTGCATGTGTTCATCTTTACAAAACAAATCACATGTAGAAGCATACTGATTGGCATTATGAATATGAATACAAGGTTTACCTACTAAAGTGAAAAAAGGTAGAAAAGTGTTTTAGTTTCAGATATGTTGAAAAGAAGATGATATTGGCATAAAATGAATGAATGAATGATCAAATGAATAAATGAATGAAAGCCTACCTGTATATTGGTCTAACAAACTTCATTCTGCCCTGTTCATTGATAAAGGTGAAAGCTCGGGTTAAGACATCCTCCCAATGAGCTTTGATACCTAACATTATCCATCTATAATAAACAGTTAATCATTATAGTTAATTCTATCAGAAAAATCACTATGACTTAATCACTCTACCAAAATACCCATATCAAATTCCATGAAAAGATTAATTCAATTTTGTGGGGTATGACTTTCTCTTCTAAGCTAAGACAATGTACCACAAAATCGATTTTATGTGAACATTTGTAACTGGTTTTAATCTTAATTGCCTCCATTGCCCACCTTCCCTCTCACCTTCCCTCTCCCCTTCCCTCTCCCCTTCCCTCCCCCATGCCCCTTAAAAAATACTTACTTGAATCTGATTTCCGAGTTGATGACACTATTCAGATCATAAACTCTATTCATAGCCTCTAGTCTTTCTATTGGTTGTGGATCCTACACACAATAAAAATATTCACATAATCGTCTACTAAAAAGGATGAAGTTGTCTTTGCATTACCAGGTGATAGAGCTCAATCTCAACTACCTGTAGCCTTTTTCAGAATTAAAATCAGACATATGGTTCCTTACAATTCAACAAAAAATCACTTATAATCATTCGTGTAGACGACTATTTCCTGTTAAAGGAATTTCTCAGAGGTTTTTGTGTTTTTTGGAGGTGGAGTCAAATCTCACAGTCAATGAAAAGAAGATTCATACCTTTTCCAGTAATTCAGCGAGGAATTCTTTTTTCTGAGCAGGTAACATGTCATTCAAATCAGTAGGAGAGAACGTGGAATATTCTGTAGCTGAATTCCATCTGTCACATAAAGTTGTACAGACATTTTTCAAACTTTCATCAAATCTGGAAAATAGAAATGAATTGAAACGAAATGGGGTTTGACATATCTCTTCTTTCTCCAGATTATCCTTATAAAATTATTACCAAGAGGTTGGTCAAGGACCAGCTGGTAGAAAGGATCCTCTAGAACCCAAGTTGTTATTCTTGTAAAATCATTACCAAGAGGTTTGGTCAAGGACCAGCTGGTAGAAAGGATCCTCTAGAACCCAAGTTGTTATTCTTGTAAAATCATTACCAAGAGGTTTGGTCAAGGACCAGCTTGTAGAAAGGTTCCTCTAGAACCCAAGTTGTTATCCTTGTAAAATCATTACCAAGAGGTTTGGTCAAGGACCAGCTGGTAGAAAGGTTCCTCTAGAACCGAAGTTGTTATCCTTGTAAAATCATTACCAAGAGGTTTGGTCAAGGACCAGCTGGTAGAAAGGATCCTCTAGAACCCAAGTTGTTATCCTTGTAAAATCATTGCCAAGACCAGCTGGTAGACAGGGTCCTTAACAACCTGTTTTTATCCTTGTAAGATTAATGCCAAGAGGTTGAGTCAAAGACCAGCTGGTGAACAAGATCCTCTAGAACCCAAGTTGTTATCATTGTCAAAAGATTCTGTTGAGGATAATTCACTCACCTGGGTGTAAATGGTGGCATACCCTGACCGAAAAACCACGTCTGCCAATCTACTTGGTCCAATATACTAATCTAAAAAATAAAAATTTATCAAAATTAGCAACAAAACCCCAAAAAATCTAGAACAATTTAAAAAAAACACACAGAAAATAAAAGAAACCAAATGTCTGAAAATGAATAAGAAAGATTCAAGTTACCCACAGAAAATGAATGAAACACAATAAGTTACCTTGTCATGAAAGAAAGAATACAGGAAATCTTTCCATTGGGTGTGATCTATGGACTGTTTAGCAAACATAGTGATATAGGCCTTCAGGAATGGTTCAAAAACGGCTGAAATAAATAACATAAGTGTGTGCAATGAGGGAAATTTTGCCATCTTTCTTTTAATTTTGGATTTTCAGCATTCCAAACATGTTGTAACATGCACACCCCAAACACATGGGGCCTTAGGTAAAAAAAACTCTGAATAAGGGCCGATTTGAAGTCAAAATTGTCTCGAATAGTTTATGCGAACCAGCTGTCCTGATGATGGAGTTATATCCAAAACATTTGGCATAAATTTTTAATATAAGGGTATAAAATCTACCCACCTGGTCCCCCTAACAAAGTTTCTAGATAATATAACAAAGCACATCCTTTCTCATAGGGCACATTAGAGAAAGCATCATCTGGGTCTACGCCCTTTAAATCAGGGATAAGTCGAGTGTAGGGACCATTATGTAATACATTTTCCACCTAAAATACAAAACAATATACTGTCAGATACATTAATATTCATATGAATCAAGGGGACCTAGGGAAGATTTTTTGGGGGTAGAAAATTGTTTATTAAATATTTTGTATTAGATTTCTTTTAAATTGCTAATGTATACGATATTTTTTACTCTTTAGCTAAATCCATAATGCAATGTATATACATTGGAAATGGTACCAAAACCAAATTCTGTGTTAAAAATGGTTAATGTATTCGGCTAGTAAATTATTATGCGCATATCATTAATATTGTAAGCTGAAATGGATATCAAGTTTGAGCACTAACTTAATTGCGCGAAAACCAAATGAAATGGAGCCAATGGAAAGATAGAACCACATGAAGAATGAAAAGTTGGTACATACTGTATTTCTCAATTCTTGCCATCCAGCTGCCAGTTGGAATTGTCTGAAAGGTTCTCCGCCATGAAGCCTGGAGGTGATTTTACGTTCAATAAATACTGTATGACCTTCATTTAACCTTGAAAACAAAAAATATTTTGTATTGGTTGTAATTCATTTAAAAATAAAGATTTTTGAAATTTGGAATTAAGACAGCCATTTTGAATACTAACTTTCAAAATGAAGATTTTTGCATTATTAAAATGTAAATCATAAAAAAATAAACATGGCCTACCAGAAATCCTCGAATGTTTTATTGGTCACCAAATTACCAGCCCAGCTGTGTGTTATTTCATGAGCTACTACATCAGCTAGTGATTTATCTCCAGCCTGAAATTCAAAGAGAATATTAGGAAAATCCGATATTAAGATGCTATCTGACTCAGTGCACCAGACAGAAGGCAGAAGGCACTTATCTCTGCAACTTCACAATATCAAGCTATTGTGAACTCTAGCCACTTTAATTGTATCACAAAGGTTGGTAAATGCAGCAAATACAGCCAACCAGAGGGCTCTACAGAAAATCTGCAAATACTAAGCCAAAATGTTGACAGTCTTGCAAGCATACCATCCAACCAAATTGCTGAATTAACAAATATCTGCATTACAATGTAATCTCTGCAAAAGACCAATTTATTATTTCATAACATACCAAAAGTGTTGGGGTTACGAAAGTCAGACATGGGTTTTCCATCCCACCATAGGGAAACGTGGGGGGTAAGACCAGTAAATCATACTGTCCCCAGACGTATGGCGTCAGTAAGTCTTCACCGGTTTGTAACTGTTGTTCTGTCTGCAATAAAAATCAGAAATCTTTAGAATTGAAAAACACAAAAAGTCTGAAATATACTTTGGGAATCTCTAAAACTGAAAATCAGAAAGAGTCTGCATAAAACATTAGAAATCTTTAAAATTGAAAAACACAAAAAGTCATATGCATAAATAAACTTTAGGGCATTGACAATTGACAATTTTCCAATCTAAAAGTGTTATAAATTCAGATACATATTTTTAAAAAGGGTCCAAGATCATACATACTATAATGTCAAAAAAGCTAGCAGCTTGCTCGTGATCAATGTCTGAATTTAGGAATTTATATCTTGGAACTTCTCACTATTGAAAGCAAAATTGATTTATCTTTATTAACAAAATTCAAGCTTACCTCTGAAAATTCAAAGGCAGCTTTATCAACCAGTTCTCTCTCGGACCAAACATGTGATCTCGGTCCAATTCGTCTACAATAAAATACAAAACATGTACATATATTGACAGCCCTGTCTTACAAAACATTGCCTTCATTGCACACTACTTGTTCAATAACTAAGAGGTTTGATCCTGGCATAGGTTATAATGAAAGATTTTTCAACTCAGTTTCCCCATGTCAGTGATGAACTGGATTCCCATCATTGCACACTTCCTTAACTAGAGGTCCAGGTTTTCAGATCTTTCTGTCCCTAATCTTGTGTTTTTTTTCAAAATTAAATTACCTGCTTTCAAGATCCCCAGCAACAATAGCCAACAAATAACTTGGTATTGGTATAGCTTGATTGAAATGATACACAGTTTTAGTAGGGTCAGTTAGACTTGTTTCAGACCCAGTTCGTATGGCACTCATTAATACTGTGATCTCTTTTTTACAAGTTACCTAAGACACAAAAATATCATGTTTAAAAATGAATCAGAAGCATTTTCTGAAAATGGCTTATTTTCAAAACATCAATATCAAAATATTTACAAAAATTGTTATCACTAACGAGAGAAAATCCACTTGGCCATTTGCAAGGATAAAATGTTGTTATTTGCCAGCCCTTTAGACTACAGGAGCTATAAAAGTTAAAAAAAAAACTTACTGAAGCACTATAGGGAAACTTGACGGAAGGTGTATCTTGACAAGGATAAAGACTTCGAGCGTGGATAGCCTGAAAAAAAAAACACAAAAAATTGAAAAGCCAATCCAGATCATTGCATTGGCAACTAGTTCTGTAAATGTGACCTGGGCAAGTGCTTCTATAGAGTATCATCTATAACACCCAATACAAAAGTAATATGAAATGGCTTAATAGCACAAAATAAGTTAGATATATATGCTTTGTTAAAGACGTAAAGTAATGCCCATATCTCCCCATGGGGGGTGGTTGGAATGTTTAACAGGTATCTTGAAGCTGAGAGGGGGTTGGGGGGGGACGGGGGCGTTTGTCAACTCAACTTTAAATTTTGACAATAAGGGTAGATAAGCATTATGTTAAAAATGTGGTGTCCAATATCTGTGCTCATTGCTAAAAGTTGGATGGTTTTTCAAAGGGGATTTTTTTGGCAGCTTGATGGGACAACTCAACTTTAAAATTTGTCCATTCAAATATAAATTCTGACAATAAGGTAGATAAGAAGAGAGTGAGCTTAAATAGGTTAAAGTAACGTCATAATCTAACTAGTTAAAATTCCCAAGCTACTGATACCTTATCAACCTAATACATATATAGCCTTCTATATCATTATATAGAGAGGTGAACATGACATTAACTTATTGCCCCTGTCATGTTAAGTAGGCCTAAATTGACTTGGAATATTGTAAAGTATTTATATAATAAAGGCAGAGTGAAAACTTGATGCTTCGACAAAAACTCAAGAAAAAAAACCAAAACAAATGAAGTACTTAAAAATAAAGATTTCTCTGATTTAATATTAAATAAAAACTAAAATCATTTCACAATGTAAACAAAAATCGATCTTCATACAAAATTATAGTTGGATAGAGTGTACCACTGTCTCGTCTATTTATTGATAAAGGGCGTAGGGCGTAGTTTAATTGACTATGAGTATGCTTGTTCCTACCTCACACTGACTGAAGAGATATGGATGACGTTTTCCAGCAGTTTGATTGGCTGATAACCATTGTAGCGCTGTGGATGCAGGGGATGTTTCATAGTTTATGCTGATCTTTGACCTATTTTTTTAAAAAAATAAAAATTAAGATAATATCGTAAATTATAAGCATTATACCACTTAAATTAGAAACATTAAAAACAGAACCTGAAACATGTTACTCAGAATTTCACGCTGTGTGATTCTAGTGACATCCTATTGAAACAGTTAAAATATTTCGTTATTGCACAACAAAATAACCCCCTGATATATATTGAACTCTTCCACACATGCATTTTCAGTTGTTATATTACATTGTTGTGATGTTTGGAACAGTCTATTAAAAAAAATACAAGGGGAGTTCATTAATGAGCTCATATGCCATGCGATACTAACTATATTGAAATATAAACCACGTTCCTTATTTTACTTTGAAATATTAACAACAACAAAAATATATAACAGCCCTACACAAAAAAAAAAATGAAGTTTCTTACTCTGAACTCTTTGTATCGCGGGGTAGTTGAACAATCAGACGGCTACCAAACGGATCCACTTTCTCTGAGACAGAAAACGTCAGTGACTGATCTGTTTCTACATCATTGATACTGATTATATTCAAATCTCTTGTATCCAACAACTGAAAAACAATATATTTAGGTACAAAATAAGATAAGGACCAGGAGTAATGATTTGGTTGTATTTGCGAGATATGTACAAGTAATGAATGTTTTTGACAATGATCTGTCAGGCATAAAGCCTTGAAGAGTGTGTCAGTCAACTACCAAAATTTAGAAATGTTGTCATTTATGGCTAGTGATAGGGTGTTCAGTCAACTCGTCAACAGTTAATGGATAGTGATAGTATAACACTCAGGCCCCTGGCCACAAAATTTTCAAGTGGGCTCATAGCACCAAGAACTTAGAGTTAAAGTGCCTGCCTTCCCTAACACCCCTCCCTCTTCAAGAAATGACAAGTTTCAACATAGGCCAAAGGCTGGATATAATATTAACATATACTATTCATAGCAATCTAAACATTTCAAGTTATATGTTATTATCAGAGAATTTCCAATAGCCTAGAACAAAATTGAGACCTGCCCAAACACAATGGTTTCTGAGGCGCAATATCAAACATTATATATATATAACCACAGACATTCCTAAAGCGATGAAACACAACTAATACTTTAAACTGTGAATATTTGAGAAATGATTGAAAAATTCAATTTAGAAATCACAATAGCTGAAGAGTCAGAGTTTGTGATGTTTGTAATAAGTCAAAAACTGAACAGAGGGTTGAGCCAAAACTAAAAAAAGATTAATTACCACAGTGTCGCATCCATTGACAACTCGTTTCAATGACAGAACACATTTTCCTGTCAAGACTTTCCTCTCAAAATCCACTTCTACAATCAAATTAGCGTGTGTGACAATACATAAATCTGGTCTTGAAAAAGAACAGGGATCTTGTTCACTTAACTCAGCCATTTTCCAACACTTTGTGACTAAACATTCGAGACTAATTGAAATTATGAATAATGTGTGACTAAATAATCGAGACTAATTAAAGCTATGAAGACTAAATGACTAAATATTCTAGACTAATTGAGGCAATGTGACTAAGTAATTGAGACTACATAATTAAGGATGTTTCGTACAAGAAAGAAGAAATTCTCCAGAGTCGATTCACAATTTCATGGAAATCAGCAGCTATTCCAGTAATATCTAATCTCTACAATGAAGAATGATTTTCCAGAAGCGTAAAGTGATTATTCACTATCTAGTTTCAAAGATATTTATCAAGTATTTTAGATGGAGGATGCGCCAGTTTTGAAAAAAACCTCAAGTCTCCTTGCGTACACAGAATTATCAATTTTATCAACAATTTGATCTTGATTAGATTGGGATTCTCGAACTTATTGGGCCTTCCCTTTGCAGCGTTCACATAGCTACTGATGCTTGCAATTGCGAATCAATGTACCCCCCCCCCCCCCCCCCAAAAAAAAAAACA